CTTATTTCTTAAACCAAAACCATCTGGATCCGCACATCTACTTTTTCCCACATCCGCCACATGGCATCCACTGAGTTTATCCCCCAGAGGCGCCCGACGCCCCTGGCACGCACACGAAGTGCCCACAATTCATATTTTCGTATTTTCTTGGCACGCGCACCTCGGCCGACTAATTAAAATCGCATTCTCTTAGTCGGACGACGGTCGGCAAGTGCGTGCCAACGATCTGAATATATAGATACCTGTACCTGCAAAGCCAATTGCTAATTATATATACATCTTTTGCCTCCTTTTGCAGTGGACAAAATTGTGGAGCTGTACCAGCATGCGGTCAAGCAGAATCCGGGCAACGAGGAGCTGCTCGCCCACCTCTTCATCTCGCACGTGCGGGTGGAGGACTACAAGGCGCAGCAGGCGGTGGCCCTGCAGCTGTACAAGGCTCAGCCGAAGAATGCCTACTACTTTTGGTCCGTGATCAGCGTGGTCTTCCAGGGAATCCGGGGGCCCGAATCGGCGCTGCCAGAGAAGAGGAAAATCTATTTGGGTCTGGCACAGCGCATGGTCGACAAGCACATCAAGGAGGGCAAGCTGGAGACGGAGCAGGAGGCCTTCCTCTATCTGCACATCCTCAAGCTGCAGAACAAGTACCAGGAGGCGTGGGAATTCCTCACCGGCGAGCTGTGCGCCAAGCTCTATCCGGGTGCTCCGGTCAGCATGAAGTTCGAGCTGCTGAAGGAACTGGGTAACTGGCGGGAACTGAATGAGCTGTTGCAGCAGCTTCTTGATGCAGAGTGAGTTTTATTTGCCATTGCACTATGGGATATTTTACCACTTTTTGTGGCATTTATTAATAACTTAAAAACGACCCAATAATTAACAACTCGGTTTTTTAATATTGCTATATTAAATTTAAAGGAATTTTTGTTGGAAAAATAGGCGGAGTCCCGCCTTTTTTTAGGAAATTTTTTTTTTTCCTAAGGCTTACTTACTTCAATTGAAAAGTCTACGAAATGAACATCTCCATACAAAATTTAGATTACGAAATTTTTCGCGTGTCATTTTTGTATACAAATTTTCGTTTCGTTGCCTTTTTGATTGAAGTGAGTACTAGGCCTAAACGTGAAGGAAAAACTATATTTTTTTAATTTATTTTAATAGGAACAACGTATTCAATTTTTAAAAATTTACCTATCAAAGTTTTCCATTTTTCTATTTTTGGATTGAAATTTTATTTTTATAATTATTACCATTATAATTTTTAACAAAAATACTATAAACCTTTATAACAAAGTTATTTCAATGAAACAGTGATGTAACATAATTTTTAAATAATTAATATTTAATAACAAAGATAGTTGCATACCACTTTTGCAAAGATTGCACCGTAACTGACATTCACCATACAAAAATACGTGAAATATTCATGTTTTGATGAAGGTCTTAAAACATTTATTTCAAAGAAAGTGCGCAAAAGTGCACTTTTTACATTGTGATTGACAAAACCAATTTTTAACGACTTTTAAAAAGTGGGTTTTGACCAAAAAAAATGGTTAAATTACCAATAGTACATTGGATAAATACATATCTTATAATTCCTTACCTTTTTCAGTCGCGATCGCTGGGACTTTTACAAGGAGTACATCCAGAGTTCGTTCGAGTTACTTAAGCTTCCGCCTCAGGCGGAGCAGAATGGGGAAAAGGATTCGTTGGCCAGGTGTCAGGAGTTCCTTCAGGGCATCATCGATTCGTCGGAGCGCAAGAAACGTGGTCCCTATCTGGCGCGTTTGGAGCTCCACAAGCGGATGCGAGCAGACCAACTGCCGGCGGAGAAGCTTATCGGCGACTTTGACGAAATGGTCATAGAGTACTTCCGTCTGTTTGGCGACAAATCATGCTGCACCCATGATATCGCCTTGTTCTTGCCCTCGATTAGCATGAAGCAGCGACAGGCGCTGGCCAACAAATTGTTGCTGGAAAGTGGAGTCACCTCCACGTCGCTTCCCAAGAATGTAAGTAAAACAAGAATAGAAGCCGAAGCTTATATACCCATGCAGATCATTCTATTAATTTACAAATCGAAAAAATGTTAAATTTCCTAATATTTCACATTAATTTTTCGATCGTTCCTATGGCAAATAGTAGTTCGATCTTTTTAAAATTAAAATCGAAATTCGGAAATATTTAAAAATAATCATATCCCATAGTAGAAGACAATGTAATAAAAATCAACAAAGATATAATTTTTTTCCTATTAATTTCCATTCAATTTTTCGACCGTTTCTATGGCAGCTATATGATATAGTGATCCGATTTTTTAAATATTTAATTCAAAATTCAGAAATATATAAAAAAAATTATATTCCCAAGAGTAGAAGGTAATATTTTAAAAAACACCGAAGCTAGAATTCTTTTTCCATTATTTTTGCGATTATTCCTATGGGAGCTATTGGATATAGTAGTCCGATCCGGTTGGTTCCGACTTATATATTACTTGCAATAGAAAGAAGACTTTTGGGAAAGTTTCAACCCGAAAGCTTCAAAACTGAGAGACTAGTTTGCGTAGAAACAGACGGACAGATATTATAAACTTCTGACTGAAATCATAATACCCTCTGCAAGGGTATAATAAAGGTTTCTCTGACAGAGAGTCCCTGTAACTTATAATTATAATTAACTGGTTTGCCCACAGAAAGAGCAGCTGCAGAAGCACCTGTGCGCCCTGCAAATCTCTCGGATGTGCGGCTCCCACATGGAGCTGCCCGTGGACCACCTGCTTGCCTTCTACACGGCCCTCAAGCTGCACTACGAGCATGGGAGAAGTACTTTCGGCAAGAAGCTTCTAAGCACGGAGATGGGACCATCGGATGCGTACGCCCTGCTGGCGGCAAATGTGATGTACGATCTGAGTAGGCGGGAGAACAAGTCGGATCATTTGTTCGAGGCGCTGTGCCTGCTGCAGTACGTCCTGCGCAACAGCACGAGTAACTTCCACGTGAAGCTGTTGAGCCTGAAGATCTATCATCTGTTTGGCTGCCAGGTGGGTGCCCAGGAGATGTACGAGTATCTGGACATCAAGCAAATCCAGCTGGACTCGATGGGCTATGTGCACTGCCAGCTGCTGCCGCTGGGCGGTCGCTTCTCGGGCACCCGGAATGTCTACGATGCCACGCTGAAGTTCTTCACCAACAGCTACAAGGAGCGGTTGGAGTATATCGCTCTGACCTATCGCTTCTGCACGTTTTCCAAGATGGAGGAGTTCATGAACTTCAAGGAGCGGCTGACCAATAGCTTGCAGTATGTGGCCTGTTCGGTGGAGGCGCAGATCTGCGATCTGGTCAGTTGTTATGGCAACATCCTGCAGAATCTAACGGCCTATTCCGCGATGAGCATTGAGCCGGCGGAGGATCGGATCGCCTGGCATGAGTTGAGCGACAATCGAGACCTGGAGGCCGTCATCCGCTGGGATCCCCTGCACGAGGTGGATTCGGCGGAGGAGCGCAAGGAGTCCTTCGACCAGGAAGTTGAGGTTCTACAAGTGCGTTCGCTGATGCTTCGACTCTTTGCCTCATTTATTGACTTGTATCATGGCAATGGCGCGAAAGATTTGCCAGCGGGAGCGGAGGCGGCCACTCTGGAACTCCTGCGGGAATCCTGGACGGGATTATTCCAGCGATTGCGTCTCATGAACTACAAGCCGTTGGCGCAAAAGTTTCTAGTCAACCTGCTGCCCACACGCCTGCACCTGCTGCTCGATCTGCCGTACGAACGTTTCTTCGACGACCTGGCCCAGTTGGTCCTCGATCTGCAAAGCGGATCCGGCAAGCTGGCCGAGCAGTGCAAACGGGTGGGCGACAACGTCATTACGGTCATGGAGCTGTGCGTGCAGACTATCAACGAGAGCAACGAGTGGAACGGCATGGATGGCCTGTGGAAGCGGCGGGGGCAGCAGCAGAAAGTGGCTGCCAGTCTGGAGGTAAGTTATAATTTATAACTTATAAATAAGACAATAAAAAGCACCTACTTTAATATTAAATAAATCATTGCTTTTCCAGATGCTTTCCCTCTATGCCTTCCTGCTTTCCGTGCTAAACGACAAGCTGCAGGTCAGCTCAAAGGCCAAGACCAAGAAGAGGCCAGTGGACAACAAGGTGGATGGTCCGCAGCCGATTAGCGAGAAGGAGCGAAGTCAGATGTTGCAGGAGCTGATGCGACAGCTGAAGCACAAATTAGAGGCCTGCGATGCGGCCATACGTAAGTTATTCTACTAAATCTCTGGAAGATAAAATAATAATGAATTTATACTTAATCCTCAGGCACCTGGAAAGCGCCCGTGCTGCCACGCGACCTCAGCTCCTTCATGTCCGACATGTCGCTGAAGCCGGAGGTGGAGGCCACGCTCATCGGCGATGTCTCGGCCACTTTCAAGGACTCCCACGAGCTGATGGTCACCGAGCTGCGCAATCTGCTAAAGGACAAGATACGCATGGTAGCCAAGTAGAGGCTTCTTTGCTGTGCAAAGGCCATCAGTTCAGTCCGGTCAATCACGATCCAAGTTCATAGTTTGTTATTTAATTTTGTTAACGAATACAACCGACCTCCTACTCCAACTGCACTACTACAATTAACTCGAACAAAAGAGCCCAGTTAGCACTTTTCAATCAATTTTCGGCATTTCCCTCGTACAACAAATAACAAGTTGTAAAATTTGTGAAAGAAACGTTTAAAAAAAAAAGGACAAAAAACAAAGAAAAAATGATTGCGTACCGCTTGCAAGTAAGTTAAATAAAAGAAGAAATTGTAAAAAATTTAAATAAAATGTTTTATTTTATTTAGACGGCTTATGGGTAAACATGTTATTTAAATAAAATCATAAATTGGTTAAACAATTAAACATTTAACATACTTTTGTCATAAAATTACTTTTACATACATTTACTTACTTTTCTAGTTTGTCAAAATCTTATATTATATCATTATTATTAGAAATAGGTAAAAATTCCTTAGGGAATACTTGCTGGGTTTCCCACTTTAAACGTGTTTAAATAGGCAGGTAATCGTGGATCATTTATATGCTGCTGGGTCTGCAAATGGGCCACCAAATTGTGAGTGCGAGCAAAGTTTTTGCTGCACAGTCGACATCTAATGGAATATAGTAATGTTTTTATTTGAAATATATATTTATTTATAATACTAGCCACTTACGTGTGAGGTTTCTCGCCCGTGTGCGTTTTGTAGTGCATTTTAAGGACACTGGCGTAAGTAAAGGTTTTTTCGCATGTTTTGCAGGCATAGGGACGCTCATTTCGATGGGTTCTATAAAGGACAATCATTAATATATATGAGTAAGTATCAAGAGGAGTTATTATTAGACATCGGATATTAGGTGAAATGGTTTTTTTTTAATATGATTTAAAGCCACATTTGATTTGTTAAAATTTTTTTTACAAAATCCGCAATTAAGATTGGCCTAAATCTAATTATAACTTATTAAATAAAATTTGTAACCAATCAAATGTGGCTTTAAATCATATTTAAAAAAAAACGATTTCACCTAAAATCCAATGTCTAGTTATTATAATAGATTACTCCAGAAATTAATGAGAAACGAAGTTGAATTTGATCATGTTAGACCGGGAAAATAGGAATTCTAGGAGAATAAATTACTTTAGAGGTTTTAAAAAAATTAAGGTAAACTTATAAGTTATAAGTTAGCTTATTTAATAAACTGTATTCACCTTTCGTGCTTAACGAGGGAAGTGCGATCTGCGAAGCTGCGTTGGCAATATTGGCAGGTGTATGGTTTTGCTCCTGTGTGATAACGCATGTGGCGCTTCAGCTGGTAGTTGACATGGAAGCACTTGTGGCAGATCCTTAAAGGATGAATTTTATACAGTGATGGAATTAAACAATATTCCAGGATTCCACTTACTCGCATTCGTAGGGTCGTTCATCGTTATGCCGTCGCATGTGGGTGTCCAGGGTGCTTTTCCTGGGATAACCATTGCCACACATCTCGCACACATGGAGCTTAGACGGGACTGCAGGAGGAGCGGTCGAGGGAGCAGGATCAGGGCCAGGAATCATTTGCACAGCCAGAACCATGGACTTCTCCTTCTCCGCCACCGGTGTTTCTGCCTCCTCGATCAGATCTTCGGTGGACCAAGCCCCCTCCTCGAGCACCTCCACCTCCACGGGTTCATACTGCTCCGTTTCCACAGGTGGAGGAGGTGTGGACTCCGGTGTAGCATCCACTGGCTGCAGTGCATCCTTAACCACATATTCCCTCAGAAATTCATTGGAGCGTTGACAAATCTGCCGGAATTTGTGGGCCAGGGTTAGGAATGCCTTGCATCTAAGACAGATCCTGGTGGGCAGCACCTCCTCCGCCGTGGGCTTTATCTGTAGGAATAGATTGTATTTTAATTATAAAGATTTGAGCATTTTAGATAGTTCACCACCTGAATTCCGCTTAAACTTTCGATTTTCTCGCACAGGGAAATGCCACCGTGCTGTTTATCATCCGCTGCCTCGTAGATGGACACCATGTGGGTCTCTCCATCCTGCAGGCAGGTCCTGCAGAGGGTTAACATGTCCAATCTGAGCTCCATTTTAAATCAAACAAATGCACCGACAAAAATTAACGATCAAAATAACGCTCTTCTTCTTGCCGATTTGCCATTCATCGCAATCTATCGGCAGGCTAGTTTGCCATTCACCCCGAAGCCGCACAAATTTTAATTGTTTCGTTTTGGTCGGAAAATATAAATTTTGACCTCCTGCTAACAGAAGGATGCATCCCGAAATGGAGGGCAAGGACCTGCAATGCCGTATCTGCTTGCTGCAGCCGAAGGACGAGTCCCTCATGCCCACAGAGCCGGACTTCCCGGAACAAATCAAACGCTGCACGGGGATTGAGGTGGGTTTTCCAAGTGGGTTTGTTATGATGGATCTTTATCTAGTAAAGATGGGTTTTCTTATTCCCAGTTGAGACAGAGTCCCGAATGGGCCAATCGCATTTGCACCAGCTGCGCCCTGCTCCTCCGGGCGGCGCTCAAGCTGCGATCCCTTTGCCAGGAGGCGGAGAAGAAGCTGCAGGAAGAGAAGGACGTGTATGAGCTGGAAGAGAAGGAGCTGCTGGAGCAGGCGGACATGGAGCTGCAGGAGATTCACATACAGATACTGCCCGATGACCAGGAGGCAAAGGATCCGCCCAGCAAGGAGCCTGCAGACGGAGAGTTGGAGTACGAGTACCTGGAGTCCTACGATGTAACGCTGGAGAGCAGCGAAGATGCGGCCTGCAGTGCCGATGAAATGGTTAGCATAGAACCGATTAACTCAGCGCCAGAGGAATCTGTCTATTCGCTGAGTCCCAAACCGGAAACGGGAGAGGAAGACGAGGCGGCTCCCAGCTTTCCCTGCACCATTTGCTGCAATGTCTACGCGGAGCGGGCCAAATTGGCCAACCACATGAAGGTTCACAGCTCGGAAAAGCCACACGAATGCGAGTAAGCTACATCCCAGGTTTATTTATCCTTCGAATCCTCATTCATATACTCTTTTTGCAGAATATGCCACAAGCGCTTCCGGCAGACGCCGCAGCTGGCGAGGCACATGAACACGCATACCGGAAATCGACCCTACAAATGCGATTACTGCGACTCCAGCTTCGCAGATCCCTCCACGCGCATCAAGCACCAGAGGTTGGGATCTATATTATCTATAAATTACATGCTAATCTCATTGGAAACCCATTTCAGGATCCACACCAACGAACGACCGTACAAATGCAAGTTCTGCAGCAAATCCTTCGCCTACTCGAATGTCCTTAGAGTTCATCTAAAGACCCACACGGGTGAGCGACCCTTCAGCTGCCAGTTCTGCCAGAAGAGCTTCTCCCAGCTGCACCACAAAAACGCCCATGAGAAATCGCACAAAACGACCGACGTAGTGGAAACGTGGCTCAAGTGATTTTAGCCTAATTTTATAGTACAAATCCGTGACCGAAAATAATCATTATTTGTGAGTTTTATTTTAAAAAGACTGCTTTAATTTTTAACTAAAAATATCAATAAATCAGACAATTTCATAAGAAATAAAAAAATATCTAAGTAGGCTTTTTTAAATACAAATTTTAAATTTTTAAATAGACTGCTTTGATTTTTAATAAAAAATATCAAAAATTAAGACAATTTTATAAGAAATAAAAAATATCTAATTAGGGGTTTTTAAAAAAAAATCTTAAATTTGCTTTGATTTTAAATTTAAAATATCAACAAATCGGACAATTTCATAAGAAATAAAAAATAACTTAGTAGGTTTTTTAAATAAAAATTTTACATTTTTAAAAAATGTTTGCTTTTATTTTTAATAAAAAATATTAAAAAATCAGACAATTTCATAAGAAATAAAAAAACATCTAAGTAGGCTTTTTAAAATAAAAATCTCAAATGATAATTTTCGGTCCCTGATACAAAATTGTAAATTAAACTTTACTTTGACTCTGTTTGCCGTATAGATTTTAAATGTGTAAATAAAAAACAATTGCAAAATTAAAAAGAAAATATAAAGTATACTATATTATTTGTTAAGTATGTAGTTAAATAAATTACCCCCTTTTCAAACGGTAAAACTCTTTGTTACAGTCGTGGCTTTAATGTAAATCCATGTTTACACTGTTTAATGGAAGAGCTATAACAATGGCTTTTAAGTCCTAAAATTAAAGTGTCTTATTCATATCAACATAAAAGAAAATGTCCTTATTTGGTTAAGTATTCGCAGGGGAGTTAGCTGACCATCTCTGTCGTCTCCTCCTTGACTCCCTCGCTTTCGTTGATTATCTCCACATCAGGTTTCCATGAACCAGGAGCACCACGTCTCTCGTGCGTTCCACGATGCAAACGCATCTTGTAGGCCTTCACAAAGCCCTTGCCACACAGATCACAGCTGGAAAAGGATGGGAATTATTTAATGATTCACTATTAATTGAGGGAACAACTTACACATGCGGCTTTTCGCCCGTGTGAATCATCTTGTGGAACTTCAGGTTGTCCGAGTAGGTAAAGGTTCTGGAGCAAACGTCGCACTCGTAGGGCCGCTCCTTGGTGTGAATTCTGGCGGGGATTTATATTTTATTAGATTAAATCAAGTGTAAGATGTATGATTGTAGTACCTATGATGCTTGGTTTTGGTGGATCTGTCGGCGAAGGCAGCTGGACAGTAGTTGCATTTGTAAGGCCGATTCCCGGTGTGCGTGTTCATGTGCCGCACCAGCTGCTGATTCTGGACAAAGCCTCGTCCGCAGATCCTATAAATAATAAGGATATAAGCATAAATATATTAATTATAATTATTTATATATTATAATTATTTTTTGACCCCGTTGCCGTCACCACTCATGATAAAACTTAAATTTAGACTCTGTTGACCGAAAAAAGTTGAAAAATCTGAACTTTAAAAATTCACCATAAATCGAATTTTTTATGGATTTTAACCATATTCGGCTTGTTTTATTTGGTAGAATGTAATCTTTAAGTTTGTATCCATTACAAATTTGCAACGGATTTATTTCGAGTTTTTACGATATATACAGCCGACTTACAGTCGACCAAAAAACACATTTTTCATCTTTGTCGAGCTGCTGCGCTGCCATTACTTATCCAATCATATCGATCTGTATGGCAAAGTTAAGCTCTGATCTATTGACTTTAAAACGAGAGCTGCCGAGGGATAAGAAAAAACTCGAAAAAAGTCAGAAATTTAACATTTCGAACTTTAAAAAATCTTAAAAAAAACTGTGCCATCGAAAAAACAATTAGGGGTATTTTCGTGATCTAGGTCTCCAACACTAACAGAATTTGGGGGATCATTTCGGCTCTAAACTAGTGTTATTTTATAAAACAAAACTCACTCGCACTCGTGCGGCTTTACGCCGGAATGGAACTTCATGTGCTCGGTGAGACGAGCCTGAGTGGGATAGATATTTCCGCACACGTCGCAGATGTAGCTGCTCAGCTTGTTGCGCGGCTTCCGGCCCAACTTCTTCTTGGCAGGCTCATCTTCTGCGGAGGTTCGTCGGACTGGAGCGGGCTTTCTGCTCGATCGCTGACGACTGGCCGGCTTTATAGGAGCTGGCTTGCCCTCCGGCACGTAATCCTCGTCGGAACTGAGTATATCTTCGTTCAGGTCGTCATCGGGACACGGCTTACTATTGTTTGAGCGATTTTCCTGGACAATTTCAGACGCTTGGCTCTCGCTGGTGAGCAATTCATATTCCTCGTACACCGACTCCTCGATCACCGTCTGCTGCTCCACGTCGTAGACCGTCTGGTTGGTATTCTCTTCCTCGAACAAAATGGTATCGCCATCATCGCCGTCCTCTACTACATAGGTGATAACCTGCTGCTGCTGCTCCTGTTCCTCCTCCTCGTTCGCTCGAAACTCGCTTTCCTCCACCTTGAAACCGCCATCCATCTGGCTGGCGTCATCCTCCCAGGTCTTGACCACGCTCTCCACCGTCAGGTCGTCCGAGAGATTGAGGATTTCCTCCTCGCCGGCGGCACTTGCATTGCTGGCCTCGCGGAGCAGCATGTCCATGATGTGCTGGTGGGATCGCTGGCAGGTCAGCCGGAACTTGTAGCACAGCCGCAGGCAGCGCACGCACTTGCTGCACATCTTGTCCGGAAACTTGTCGTCCAGGCTGACCTATTGGTTGGGAATTCTGACCATTAAAGGAGCCCCTTTAATCCGGAATTCGTACTTACGGGTATGCCTGCGCATATGTGCAGCATTTGATCCAGGCGCGTGCTGGCCGTTTGGCTGAATATCTCGTGGAGCAGCTCATCGCCCTCGGCCGGATTGTTCAGGCAGACGCGGCACACCACCCACTTCTCGTTGGACTCCGTTTTCATGGCTAATTCGGAGGTATTTCCTACTATTCGGACGCAGTTTTGGTTCTCGCTAAAAATACAAACAGCTGAATGCAAGCGTCCGCGGTCAATGGGCATTCACCGCGAAACGCGGTCTTTTTGGTTGATACGGTGAGTATCGGCTAAAAGGGATAACAAATTGGTCTTTAAAATTTATAGTAAACAATATTTACTAAACATTTATAGTTTGTGTCATGCTTATAAGGGTATAGTAATATAGTAATATAAGTTTGTTAAATATTTCAGTTAGGAAAATATATTATTTGTTAATACTTAAAATACTTAAGACCATATACCTGGTTAGTAGGAAGCCCTCAAAGTTAGCTTTTTATATAAAGAAGTTAATAAAATAATTAACTATAAGTATTAATACATATTTATTTAAATCTTTCTTTTAATACAGTGAACACAGTTTGATTCCATGAATTCACTACTCCGAATGCAGACTCCAAAAAGGCCATGTGCTTGTATAACATTCAAGAAAGAAGAACATTTAAGTAAATAATTAATTAAATTAATTATTTAAACTTCTAAAAACAATATTTATTTAATGTTTTATTTATTTCCCTGGAGAACGAACCACCCCTAATGCAAGAAGCGCCGATGCCGTGGTCACCCTGTGCCGCGGCCATTCGCGTTGCAACGCCACCATCTTGGCTCCAGACTACCTTGTATTTTTTTGGCGTCGTCTTCGTCCAGCGAGCGTGTTCATTGAGAAATAAAGGCGGATTATAGCCAACCAGGAGAAGATCAAGGCCCCATTAGCGACAATGAGAGACTCGGCGGCACAAGCGAGTCCGGCGGCGGCGCCAGCGGCCACGCAGAAGTGGATAGTTTGCCGGGTTTGCCTGCAGCAGCCCAAGGAGCCCATGGCGAGCATTTTCAACGATGATTCCGAGAAGGATCTGACCAACATGATCCGCGAGTGCGGCGGAGTGCCCGTAAGTGTAGTGCCCCCAGTCGTAATCTGTAATCTGTAATCTGTAATCTATAATCCCCCCGCAGATCAAGCAATTCGATCATTATCCGGACAAGATATGCGAAAAATGCTTCAGGGTGCTCAAGATGGCATTCAAGTTCCGGGAGACCTGCCAGCGTTCCTACGGCCACCTGCGGCAGTTCGTGGGCCCCGTGGAGGTGGAGCAGCGAACGCCGGAGAAGAAGCTCCCAGAGCCAGCCACCAAACAGGAGCAGGATGCCGAGGAGGAGGAGCCGGAGCAGCAGCCGGAACACGAGGAGGACGAGGCGGAGGAGGAGGAGGAGGAGGACCTGGACGAGAGCCAGTATGCCGAGAACGAGGCGGAGGCCGAGGAGTCCACTCCCGGCGTCTTCCACGACGAACTGGAGGAGGGCATTATTGTGGAACTGGAAAAGGATCGCATTGTGCACGTGAAGAGCGAGCAGGTGGAGGAGGACGGCATCATCGAGGAGGTGTACGACGTGTACGAGACCTACGAGGGCGACATTCTCGCCGAGCAGGGCGCCTACGATCAGGAAATGGCCGATCAATCGCTCTCCGAACTCTCAGCGGACATCGAATACTTGGAGCAGGTCGATCAGGATCAATTGACCGAAAGTGCGCACGAGGACGAGGGTGACGGGGATATGAACTCCACCGAGGAGGAGTTCCTGCCCACCAAAAGTGTTCGAGCGTCGATCAATGCCCGAGGGGCCACCAAACGGAGAGCGAATCCACGCAGATCGGCTGCATCCACGACATCGGTGGCCGCCGCTTCGGGAACCTCCAAGACAACAGCGGCCCGCGGAAATCCCCTAAAAGTCCGGCGGGGCAACAGTGAGGCGGCAAATGCGGCCGCCACCAAAATCGTCATCAACTCCGAGGAGGGCATCTCCATTGGCGAGGTGCTGGCGCGGAAGCATGCCGGCATTAAAACCAAGGGCGGCCACAAAATCCTCGTCGGCGACAAGAAGGAGTTCAAGTACATCTGCGACGTCTGCGGCAACATGTATCCCTCCCAGAGTCGCCTCACCGAGCACATCAAGGTCCACTCCGGCGTGAAGCCGCACGAGTGCGAGTAAGTTATGTGTTCCTTCTTTTAAAGCTGCTAAAGAAGATTAAGAACTCAGACCATTTTCTACATATTCTGAGATATTCTTTAAGGGGGAGATACATACAAAACTGTAATTTTTTCAAGTTTTTCGTTATTTTTTTTAACCAATAAGGAACTGCGCTGGAATTTCGCAACTTGTCATGTTGATTACATTGTTCTTTTATAATTTTAACCATTTTTTTTTGTTTTTATCCTTTAAAATGGCATCCGTGGTAATTTTTTTGTCAGGCTATATTAAAAAAAAAGTATAAAGCTATTTATGAAACCAAGTATATTTTGTTAGGAAATAATGTATAAACTTTCTGAACCTAACTTACAAGGAATATCTCAAACACTATGGTTGTGGCACTATTTCAAAGTCAAAAATCTATTTTTTTCATAATTTTTTGTTGTTGTTTTTGGCTAACAAAAAATACTTAAACGTTAAAATTTCAGACAGTGGCCAATTTTATTATAAACATTTCTGTAAAAGCAGCATGATGATCGAGGCATTACTTTTTGACATTTTTAAAGAGTTATTCTACCAATTTAAGTAAAAAACAAAAATTGAATTTGTATTTTTTCTATATGTATCTCCCCCTTAAAGAAAGCTCTTATTAAACTAAATTTCTTTCCAGGATCTGTGGGCACTGCTTTGCCCAGGCGCAGCAATTGGCGCGTCACATGAACACCCACACGGGAAATCGGCCGTACAAATGCAGCTACTGCCCGGCAGCCTTTGCGGATCTCTCCACTCGAAACAAGCACCACAGGTGAGTTGATTTATCGGTTAAACAAAATGTGAATTAAATTCTTTAAAAACCTCCTGCAGGATCCACACCAACGAGCGTCCCTACGAGTGCGATGTTTGCCACAAAACATTCACGTACACCAACACCTTGAAGTTCCACAAGATGATTCATACGGGCGAGAAGCCGCATGTGTAAGTTGAGCTTTCCCCTAGTAAATACAGTCGAACTTCTCTAGCACGAACTTTCACTATTTGAGACTCTTTGTGCGTACAGTCTGCTTTCAAAAAGCTTAGGAATTTCAATTACTTCACTCAAGAAATTTTAATGAACTCTATTATTCAATGAGTTTCACACAGGAATTTATAGAAATTTTAAATTAAAATAGAACATTTCTAATAGCATTTCACTTCAAAAAGAGGTATTTTATTAAACCAAACAAAAAAACTAGATTTACTGAACTAAGTTTGTTGAAAAAGGGATTTATTTTAATCCAATAATGTTAAGCTTTGAAGTAGTAATATTTTTTCAATGGTAATTTTTTAATAAACTCTATTATTAAATGAGATTCATACAGAAATTTATAGAAATTTAAATTAAAAGATAACATTTCACTTCAAAAAGAAGTATTTAATTAAACCGAAGAAAAAAGGTAGATTTTCTGAACTAAATTTATTTTAAAAGATTTTATTTGAATCTTAAAATGTTAAACTTCACAGTAGTACTTTTTTTTTTAAAGAGCTAAGCTTGTTGAGAATCTCAGATAATTATATTATTTTTATTTAACTAAGAAAAAAGGTTAAACTAGATTTCATGAATTCTTATTCAGTGGGCTAAATAACACTGTGCAGCATTTTTAGTGCTTTTTAAATTTACCTCGATGGATGCTATATTTTTGGATTCGTTACGAATTCCCAAGTTAAACTGCGTTTTCCAAAAAGTTCCCCGACGCAAGGATTCTTAGCAAAAGGACCTCAAAGTTCGAAAAATGCTGAAATTGGCCAACTTTGCGGAGCTCTCAGAGGCAAATGGATGCATGGTTTGATTCGATGTTAAAGTTTTTTAAAAGATACACCCTTTATCTTTTAAACCCCATAATTAAAAAATTTTTAAGATTTTTTTTAAGGCAGAAACAAATTCTAGAAAACATAGTCAAAAAACATAAAAGTATACAACTGCGGTCAAAATGGTAGTAGTGTAGCCGCCCTGTGTATTTAAAAGTTTGTTGTTGTAGTTGATCTTTTCCTGGTAATATTGTATTGATTATAATTTTACTATTAGACTAATTGGATAAGAAAAAATTACAACATGAAACTTTTAAAAACACAAGGCGGCAACACTGCTACTATTTTGACCGCAGCTGTATGTTTTTCAGTTGTTTTTTGGAATTTATTTCTGCCTTAAAAAAAATCTTAAAATTATTTTATGTATGGGGTTTGAAAGATAAAGGGTGTATCTTTTAAAAAACTTTAACTTCGAACCAAGCCATGCATCCATTTGCCTCTGAGAGCTCCGCAAAGTTGGTCAATTTCAGCATTTTTCGAACTTTGAGGTCCTTTTGCTAAGAATCCTTGCGTCGGGGAACTCTTTGGAAAACGCAGTTTAACTTGGGAATTCGTCACGAATCCAAAAATATAGCATTCATCGAGGTTAATTTTTGATGCTGCATAGTGTAATTTATTAAATTTCCCCGTTCTCCTTCAGTTGCGAAATTTGCGGCAAAGGCTTCCCGCAGGCGTACAAGCTGCGCAACCACCGGATCATCCACGAGCGGCGCGGCCAGTCCACACGGGAATCCGTCGGCGGTCTGCTGCCCTACGACACGGCCAACATTGTGGGCCTGGAGATGTAAATTTCAAGCGAGGATTACTCCTCCTCGTCGTCCCCAAAGCGACACTTTAAACATTAAAACAGACACACGCGTGTAATTACACATCTAAGTATATTGATGAACTTTAAGCCTAGCCTAATTATGCGGAAATAAATTAAGTATAGCTGCGCAGATGGTCTTGGCGTCGGTCTCCTCCGGATAGAGCTGCAGCACGGCGTGCACCTGGTGCGGCGGAAAGAGGCTACCCAAATGATAGCGCAGCAATCGCCGCTGCTCCTCCCGCGGCAGCTGCTGCGAGGCGTGCGCATCCTCGTTGATGCGCGAATCGGAGGCGGACAGATGGGCAAAGTTGTGAGCGGGCAGTGGCAGACCCAATCCCTGATCCGTGACCGGGGCGGATGGCGTGCGCGTCAGATACTGGTGGTGATAGTTGGAGTTGGACTGCGGTTGCTGGAGAGGCTGTTGCTGCTGCTGCTGAAGGGGAGCACTGTAGGTGGGCACCAGCAGGCGATAGGCGGGCGGCGGCTGTTGGCGTTGCAGCTTCTTGTGGCGATTGGGCTGGCTGGACTCCAAGGAAGCCTCCGAGAAGCCCTGGCACACCTGCTCAATGGTATTGGACTTGGTGCGACCCAGTGGCTCCCTGCTAATCAGTGAGTTGATCTTGACATTGTTGTTATTGCCACCCGGACTGATCATCTGCTGACCACCATTCGTGTGCAAGGGGGCACTATGCGAAGCCTGGAGCGGCAGACGCTGGAGCAGCGCACCGGGATGATGACGAAACTTGCACTTCTGCCCATAGGTGCACTTTTTACCATACGGACACAACTGCTGGGCATCGGCCATCTTCTGCTGCGTCTGCGAGCAAAGGAACAAGTCCAGATTTGGACCCGATCTGCCCAGCGGATCGTCGGGCGGCATGAAGATATCATTCACAAACGAGTACATCAACAGGCGCTCCTGCACGACGCGCCGGAACTCGTTGCTCTCCAGGATCAGATCCCTGTAGTTATCGTTGGACACGACAATGCCATCCGTTTCCACGGCCAGTTTGAGTATGAAACGATCATCGTAGCAGGAAACCCGCTTGCCATCCAAATGACGCGATGGCGTGAAGACCAGATATCTCTCATGCTCCAACTCGTAGAGCAGCTCCTGGTCGGCGATGTTGTTGTTGGCCATCTCCTTGCGCCAGTTGGGCACGAAGGCGGTGATGTCGCGGTGGCCACGCTGCCGGAACCAATCGACGCAGATGCGGATGCCGCGGCAGGAGAAGATCAGGTTGTTGCCATGCGACAAGGCAACATTGCTGCCATCGATGACGATGTGGCGCAGACCAAAAGGGGAGGAGGAGGAGGAGGAGATGGTGGCGGTTGATGATGGATTGTGGGCGGGTCGTGGTGCATCCGCCGTCAGCTTGATCAGCTCCGCCAGCAGCTCATTCTGCTTGGCCTCCGAACCGAGACGCGTCAACGCCGAGTGGATGGACTGTTCGCTGTAGCCCAGCTTCTTGGCAAACTCCAGATTCTGGCGCTCCGTCGTTGTCGTCCGGCTGGGATTATCATCGTCGTCGGAGCAGCTCTCCTGCTTTCTCACTGGCAACTTGTTGCTGCTGCTGCTGTGATGTTGTTGCTGTTGCTGCTGCTGCTGTTGTTGTTGCTGCTGCTGTGGCTCATGTTTTTGCTGCTCCTGCACTTCACAGTTCATTTTGATGCGCATTTAACTGACCAGCGGCTGGCTTTCCTTCGGCTGCTCGCTTCTGGGGCTTCGCAACTCCGATTCGTTGTATTTTTAGCTGTCTCTGCAGCAAGTTCCGTCTATTTACATTTACAGACTTCCGTGTTGTTGTTGTTCTTGTTGCGCTCGCTGGTGGGCAGTGTGGCCGATGGCTGAGCGTTGGAAAATACCTCTAAGCTGTGAAATCAAAAGTTGGTCACATGGCGGCTTGAGGATTTTCAAATTTTGCGAGCCATTTATTTAGTTTCGCAAATATTTCAAGTGTTTGTCGAGGGAGTTAATTTATAACTAACCTATATAGGATTTTTAAAGTAAGGAATTACCGGTAAAATTTAAAATAATATTAATATTTTTATATATTTTTAAGCCTACATATATGTATATCTTAAAAATCCTTAAATTACACAGGCCGACAAAATGTGACATGGGTCGATGTCCAGGCCTGCCACCATTTTATTTCGATAAATTAGGCTTTTCTAAGCATAAGTTGTCACTACGCCTATAGTCCATCAGCTCTGGTATTTGCGGTATCTTTAATTTAAGAAAATCACAAAATTTCTTCGTCTTTTGGGATATATCTTCAAGAGTGGTTAACCAATTTTGGTAATCTTTTCGGAATTAAATAGTTACATGTCTCTTTTATACGGTCGTTTTGGAAAATTCAATCTAACTCAACCACAAGAGGAGGTAGGCGCATTCAAAATTTTAAAGTCACAGCAAAGTTTAAAAATCTTCATTTGTGAACAGCGTTTAAAAATTAAATAAAAATATTTTCTTCTACGATGCAATTTTGATCCAAAGACACCCTATGTCCTTAATTTTTAGGACACTCATCAGGTTTTTGTGAATTGTTTTGGAAATTTTAAAATTGTTTTTCTTCCCTTCTTCACAGTGACGATTCACAAACAGTGCCCAATCCTGTCACTATTTTACGTAAGGCATAACTATTTTTGAGCACAAGTGACCCTTGCTTTGAAAATATTTATACATGGGCGTAAGTTAAAAGCTGGAGGGGGATTACACTTCAGTCATTTCAGCCCCCAAAGATTAGTAGGCTACGCTCATGTGCTTATATTCAAAGCAAAACTACTTAGATCGTTTAGAAATATGTTATTTAAAATTGTGACAGGTTTGGGCACTGTTTGTGAATTGTCACTGTGAAGGAAGGAAGAAAAACAATTTTAAAAATTCCAAAACAATTCACAAAAACCTGATGAGTGTCCTAAAAATTAAGTACATAGGGTGTCTTTGGATCAAGAATGCATTGTAGAAGAAAATATTTTTATTTAATTTTTAAACGCTGTTCACAAATGAAGATTTTTAAACTTTGCTGTGACTTTAAAATTTTTAATGCGCCTACCTCCTCTTGTGGTTGAGTTAGATTGAATTTTCCAAAACGACCGTATAAAAGAGACATGTAACTATTTAATTCCGAAAAGATTACCAAAATTGGTTAACCACTCTTGAAGATATATCATAAAAGACGAAGAAAATTTGTGATTTTCTTAAATTAAAGATACCGCATACCAAATACCAGAGCTGATGGACTATAGGCGTAGTGGCAACTTATGCTTAGAAAAGCCTAATTTATCGAAATAAAATGGTGGCAGGCCTGGACATCGACCCATGTCACATTTTGTCGGCCTGTGTTATTTTTAAAATTGTTGTAAAATGTAAAATCTTAAAACTTTAGGAGTACTTTAGGTAAAATTTAAAAAACTTTTTGACATACTTAATCCTTTTGAACTATTTATAATTTTTTCAACAATTTTTAAACCTATTTTTTAAAAATCCTTAAATTATTCTTAAAAATGTTGTTCCCAGTATGTATTTTAGAACAAAAAATGTTAGATCATAAAACTTATTAAATCAAAAACTATTTTTAGATCTTTTAATTGAAAAACTTAATTGGTTTAGATTTTTTATTTGAGATTTCAGTTTTAAATGCATACGTTTTTAGATTATTTAATCGCTATCAATATTAATCAACACATTTTGAAGTGAAATAACTCATGTAAAAGCAATTGAAGAATATTACTCATACGCCATGTGCACCAAGTTACAATTAACTTATTTATTTGTTGAATGGTAGAAACTATGGAAGTAAGCAAACTTACCAGCAAAAACCATTGCCAAATTCAAATTCAAGACAAAGACTACATTTTTTATAGAATTCAATTTATATTTCAGTTTCTATTTCTAATTTTGAAAGTAACATTATTATTTCAATTGTTTGAATAAAATCCCAGTTTTAGTTCAATAACATGCATAAACATTTCTTTATTGTATTGTTGTACATAAAGTATATCGTATATAGTTTTAACAACTTTCACACTACTTTTAACATTTATAGATCTCACTTAGGTTAGATTTAATTAGTTAAAATAAAGTACACGTTTTTTTCGTATTGAATTCTTTGTTTCATTGTACGTTTGGTCCCCCTTTTCATGACAAAAAAGGATGCACTGCCCTCGAATTAGCTACAAATTCAATAGTTTACTAGGTATAAGTGGTCACATCTATCTTGGTTACATAGATATCTATATGCTACGCTCGAAGTGCAATTGGATAAATGCATATACAATACACCATACATCCGCCCCCCTTCCCTTCCGGCAACACTAAAGTAATTTCATTAATTTCGTTTCGTCCTGGAGCGTCCTTTCATCTTTGGCCAAGTCATGTGGCAATTAGTGAGACAGCCATACATAAAAAAAAAACTATAAAACCGGACGTAAAGTTCACTACGTGTGCTATGGGAGGTTTCTCTGTGTATTTGAAAGTCCGCTTAAAAAGTAACGAGTCATTCTTTTCGCACGCAGCGAAAGTGAGTTTCCCCTCAAAGGATAGGGATGCATTTTGAGTGGCTAACCCCGTGCCCCCGAAACTCAATTTTTTTTCCTAACCCAGACACACGACAAGTGCTAAAATTTGTGCTCCGCGTGTTGCAATCTTTTCTTTTTTATTATGGTCGTCGTAAAATTTATTGTTGCTCTTTGAGCGTGTCTGCGTTTTTATGCTGGGATTTTTCTTGCTTAACGGATAATTAGTAAAGTTTTCGCCCTTTCCATATTTTTCCTTTGCATGGCTATTGTTGATGATGCAATATTAAACTACATTTCGGTGGTTGAGTGTCAAGTTAACTTTTGTGTTCGGTTTGTGGTCAAAGTTTTGTGTTGTGAAAAGAAGAGGATTTTTTACAAGCGTTCAAGATGTCTTCTATGAATAATAAATTCTAAAAACTTTAAAACAACTCTCAGATCGGCATAACTTGAAAAAATAAATATAATAATTTTAACTTATTTAATTTAATAATAATTTAATACTACTGTTAGTCAAACTTACAAATTTATTAAAGCTGTAAAATAATATGACATGAGCAAATAAACATAAGAAACTTTCCTAATAAAAATAAATTTCCAGACATTATTTTAACTGAAGCGTTCTTCATCGTAAATCCTTCAACGTAAAATCTTCGCCGAGTTAATTTTCCATGTCAATAGACCCATTTGGTCATAAGTAATTCGTCTGGCTTTGCCGTAAGTGCCCTGTAGCCGCAGGATCTGAGAGGACTCGGTCTCCACGTGGTTGCCAGGCAATTGATGAGCTCTCATCATGGCCTGCCAATTTGTCAAACGATAATTTCTGGTCCAACGAACTTTGTCATTTATCAGTTGTTTAATTTTTAAAAGCATTTCCAGGGGATAAAGTGGCAGCCCCATACCCAAAAAATCGAGTTATTTGTTTGCTCTTGGGCCTCTTGATGTGCCTAAAAAAGCAGGAAAAACAACAAAATGCCTCGAAACCGATGACGGAGGTTGTCTAAGCTGATTAACATTGAGTTCCCGACACATTGGCAAAAAGGCGGATGTGTGTTGGTTTTCCCCAATTTTTTGTTTTTTTTTGGGTTGTGAGCCGGAATAGATATTTTTGTGGGGCCTTCCGGACGACGACATAAGCTTTAATTTATGCTCACACAACAGCTCAGTTCGGCCAAAGATCCTTTAAATGCGGTCCATTTTGCTCTAATTTAATACCAACTCTTTCTGGCCTTTTATCTCCGGCTCGGAATCGCTTTGCTACCACTGAATCGCTGGGCGATTTTCTTTATTGTTCCTTTACGCTTTGTCCGTGTGCACTGCATCCAGTTTCCGTTACTGTTTTTATTATTACAGCCTCGAGCCACGGTCTTGAACTCCCATCCAAAAAAAAAGAGCAGGAAAAACCCAGAAAATCAGACAAAAAGGGCCACAAAAAAGGGATATAAGAAAAGTCACTCACTAGCTGGGAATGTCTCCCTGCCTCCCCGTCCATTGGTTGGTTAAATGCTCCCGCGCTGTCAATATTCGAAATTGGAATATGTGTGTAAGATTACACAGAAAAAAATATTACAATGGAAAAAAAATATATAAACAAAAAATAAAATCAACAATAATCTAAATCCAACTTTCAAAGAAGAAAAAATTGTGGGAATTAATGTAGACTATGACTTATGATGATATAAAATATAAATAAAAATGTAGTTTTTTTCACTTTGTCTCTTTACTTTGAGAATTTAATAAAAATGTAGCAAAATGTAAAATAAATTTTATGTATCTATTTGTTTCTGTTTGTATTACCTAAAAAGTTAAGATGTTTTTCTAGATTATTTATCGTCAATAGATGTAGCTTTAATATTTCAAATATCATCCAGCCCAATTAAATTTTGTTTAAATGGGTATTTGACCAAAAAATTCGATTACCATTTAATTGTGTAGTTTTAAAAAAGACAAAAAAAGTTAAAGTAAATGTTGGTCAAATTTGTATGGTTTCTGAAAACAATGACTGCTATCTGCGACCCTTTGTTCTAACTATTTGCAACATTTTTCCACCATGTACATATGCACAATGTTTCCAGCATTTCAGTTTGGGGGCAACAATATCGACACAGCGCACTTGCAGAAGTATCGTTTATATTTCCTTCGCTGCCATTATTCCGTGGTGTGAGGTTTCGGTTGGCTCTTTTTTATTATTCCTCCTCGGTTTGACAAACAAAAGGTGGCTGCTGCATGGTGGAATTCGAGTGAATTGCATTTTAAATTGAAATGCCAGGGTGCGGCATAAAAACTCGAATTTATGAAAGTCTTAAAAAGTTGAAATTGTCTGGAGCGAATAGTGAAAAATTTAAAAGGCTCTCTACGCTTTCATATCCTTTAGCCTCCTTGTGTTGATTATTTTTTCTAACGACCGGGGTGTAAGAAAAATACGAAATGGCAAAATACAAACGCCTAATTGGCTGGACAAATGTCAAGTGCCAGGGTAGGAACCCACTGTGCACAGTGGCCAAACAATAGAGCCATGCTTCCTGACACTTGAGAAAACTGCAACTGTGGCAAAAAACCAACAGAGAATGGCGGCAACGTTTAAACAGCACAAATTCCACTGCTTTCCGATTTGTGTACGTGTCTGGGGGGGATTTTGGTTGGGTTGGGTGGTATGTGGGGTTGGAAAAAAGGGGAGGCCACTCTGGGTTATTTTTGTTGGCCAACTAAATCGTCAACGTCAACATTGTCGCAGACCGTGTTGACATTTAGCCTTGCACTGCCTGCACCGCTGCAAAGGAAAACAAACGCAGGACAAAAGGAAAGAAAGTCGCCCCATTCATCCTTCGATACCGAAATCCCTTAGGCGTTGATATAATATTCCCGCTTCTTCTGGCATTTCTCATACGCAATGTAGCACAGGGCGATGGTGATGAGCACCAGTATGGTAATCCCCATTATGATGCTGACCAGTATAATCTCATCGTTGATGCTCTTGTACGAGTGACCTGAAAAAAAATAGAAAGCAGAGGGAAAGAAACAAGATTTAGAGGCCTCGCTAACAAATTACAGGCAATTATTCTTGTCAGGTGGTTGAAATGTGGGTGTGCCACCCACAAAAAAGGTGACTCCCTGTTGTTTGCCAATCCACAATCCACACATCTGGGATAGGGATTTTTTTAAGGGCTCAGTACCCATGCATATTCAAACAATACGGAAAACAAAAACAAATTTAGCCGGACCATGACAAATGCACTGTTGTAAAGAATAAACGATGGCCATATGCCAGAAGCAATCTGGATGACAACCCACGCACACACAGAAAAAGGAGACATAAAAACTCGTAATAAACAAAAATAATATGAAAATTGGATTTGCAATTCGAATTTTTACAGCAGCAGATGTTCCAACATTTTACGATCTCCCCACATATGGCCTTGCATTATTAACGCAATTATCGGCCAACAGTATTGTAAAAAGCATGACTGGGATTAACTTTTAAGCTTGATTTACTAACGATTGAATTATAGAAAAAAATTTTGACTTCACGATTTGGCAAAAAAAGATAAGTACAAATTATACACAGTAAAAAATGTGATATATACATACATATATCAACATATTTTATCATATCAGTTATTTCATAATTTATTTAAAAAATAGGTACAATTTAATAATTTTTCGAACATATAATTTAAAATTAGACGAATATAAAATAAATTGAAAAATATTCAATAGACCTGCACATATCGAACTTATTTTTTGACAACTTTTTTCTGTGTAAAATGAAAGCTGCTTAAATTTAACGAAAAAAGATTTTGCACTTTTGTTTTATTTAATTCAAGAGACATTTGATGATTTAATTTTTTAAATTGTTAATTTATGTTTTCTGTAGTTTTCATATTATTTCTTTAAAAAAACCACAAATTCGGATTAATTTTGTATGAAATAAAGCATTTTTTAATGCTTTATTTTATGGTCATATAAATTTCCATCCCGCCAAATTAAATCTCAATTCATGCTTAATTCGTTAAAAAAGGATGAAATGCGGTTAGGGGTTTGACTTTAATTATATGCAAATGCGGCATTTGCAAATTTAAATCATTCGATTTAAACGCGGTCGGTATAATTTCAATTTGGCATAACCAAAGCCATTTCCACACAGCCGCCTTTTTGCAAATAGGCTCTCATTGTTCGGGTCCATTTGGGCCAGATGTTTGCTTTATGGGTAATTTAACACATAATCGATGCCGAGCATTCACAACTCGCCTTTAGCGCTCGCTCCTCGTCACACATCAAACAAATTAAAATCCTGTTTACAGGCAGCCAAAGCGACGCCGTCACAGATTTGTTAATTAGACGGCTCGCATTACGAGGGCTCAAAGCCCAATGGCCCATGTCCCAAAGCTAAGGTTCACCATAAATCTCCTTTTCCTGTGTAATACATATTATATGTGGTGTTTGGTGTGTAGTACATATGCATATAAGGGTTTGAGCGCTAAATGTGTTTGATTGTCGGCATCGAGGCGTTGAGTGCTCTTCGTGGCTCACAGTTCACGGTCACTAGGCCCCCGGATAAATAGGCAATCATTTCGATTGTTTTCCCTTGGCCAAAAGCCTTACCTGCCGTGCAGGCCATAAAATCCAAATGGATGCAGCAAAATGTTCAGCAAAATGGCGGAAGATAAAATACGATTTATGGGAGATTTCTATTCCCAAAACATATGAATATAAGATACTTAGATGCAAAACTACTTTAAATATTTGGCTAAGAAATTTCATATCTAATATATCATGTGTGTTTTCTTTTGTTTTCTGTTGGTTGTTTTCTCATCTTTAAAATCTAAAATTGTATCATCTTTATCCAAAAGGATGCAGAAAGTGTTTTGGAAAATGGTGGAAGATAAAATACGACCTATGGGAGATATGTATTCCCATAACATATGAACACAAGATATTTAGATGCAAAACTACTATATTTCACTAAGAGATTTCGTATCTTAATATTTTATATGTGTATCCTTTTGCTTTCTGTTGGTAATTTTCTCATCTTTAAAATCTTAAATTTTCTCATCTTTATCCTAACAAATAACGAAACTACTTGAAAATTTTACCAAAACATTTCTTATCTTAATGTTTTCTGTTATTTCATGTTGGTGATTCTAAACTAGGATTTTTGGGTAATTTTCTCGTCTTTAAAGGCGAGGTGTTCACATTTCGGTTGACCCCATTGTTAATTAGTTTTGCACACAAGAATTTCTCTTGGCTTTCGGCATAAAAGTGCTTCATACATATGGGACCCATATTTTCATCCAGATGCCAGAATTAGTTGCTCACATAACAACATAAACAACAATTTTATTTTAATTTTCACAAAACTTTTTCTGTTCACAAAACCTGGGGATGAATTTCAGTTAAATTCTATTTAAAATATATCTTCAATGAAAGGTGTTATTACTTCTAAATGAACCGAAATCTGCTTCAATTAGCTGATGTAAAATGACCCGTCTCTTTAAAAGGCCATGGCTAATAGGATTTGGCAAGAGTTTTAGTGCCATATTATACCAATTAAGGAGAACTTTCAACCGACAATTGTATCATTAGCCACTTTGGCTATTCTGCAAAAGTTTCAAGTGACATTCAAGTGCGGTCAAAGTTTTGTGGCCTTTGCCATGTACACACTTCTTTGGGATTCTTCGGGCATTTATAAGTTTCATTTGAAGACCACGAATTTGCGGTTGCTTAAAACATCAAAAGCGCAACAAAAGTTTGGCATATCAAACAATAATTCACACAGTTCGGGCTGTCAAAATGTAAGTTATGATAGCGTGAAATATGCAAAGCGAATGCAGGAGACGAACGCCTCATCTTCAGCCGCAAATTGAAATACGAAATGGAAAATGGTGGCGTGGCCCATGGGCACAAAACTGGGCTAAACTGAGCGTAAATTATTAAGGTTCACGACTGGATGAGCCTAACCGCTTTCGGGGCTCCGGCGAAGGACACATGTCCTGCTGCCAGCCGATATGTATGTATTAAATTTCATTTATTGTTCTCTTCCCGACCGAAAATCCAGTCAATAAAGTCATTTGACAGATTATGTGAATAGACAGAATACTATAGAAAAAAAATATAAAAGCGTGGAGGAAAGTTTGGGTCTCACATTCATCTAGCATTATGTAATACCCTCCACGAGTGCGTGTGTGTGCGTCCTGTTTGTCCTGTCTCTGACATCTTTCGAAATGTTTTGTGGCCACAAGGATTGGGCCAACATTAAGGAATTTCATTTGGGCCAGATTGAAGCAGGACTTCTCGAACACTCCGACAAGGACGCGACCGCTTGAAGTAAATATTTAATGCTACACAGGAAAAAAGTTCCACAAATATAATGGCAAACTTTGAACTAAAATCTTTATATTGCATACACTTAAAAATTATTAAAAATTTACTAGGACCATAAGATTAGACACTGATTTCATTATTAAGAGTAATGTTGTATAATTTACATTTAATAATTATTTTTGAGCCAAAGATTTTTTGACCTCTAAGTTTCGAATAAATTACCAGCAGAGCATGACTAGAATGCGAACTGTTTTAGATACTGCTAAATGTGTTCTCTTTAGAAAATGAAGAAAAACTAGCAAAAAGCATTCAATGTGTTGACAAACACAATTGATTTGAAAATCAATAGAGAATCGAGTAGAATAGAATTTAAAAGCGTTTTCTGGGACACTAATTGCTTTGACAAACAAAATGGAATAGAAAATTGCCTGGATTTTGTTTGAAAATGAGAGACTTCAGTTGAATTTTGTCCTTAATATCCTTATTTTCTCTATGTGGCTTTCTTTAATTCCAGTTTTGACCTCCTCTGATTGTACAACTGTGGGGGTGCGAGAGGAAATTATCAATTAGATGACATCAAAGTGCGTTCAGATTTAAATTTCCCTTTCTGAAGTGCCGCTGATTGCCGGCGAACCTTAACTAAGAGGACACCAAAGGAGCAGCGATGATATTTTCCTGGAATATGCTTGAATAACTTAGTACTCCCTGATACTTAGATCCGATTATTTATGTTTTATTTTATCGCACACTTAATACACATAGTACACAAAAGACTCAGATGTTGGGCTAATAATCTCATTTGGGGGCCTGAAGACCAAAGAAGATGGCAGAGCCAGAGGAACCAAGGTGAGATTGGTTGATATTGGAAAGTAACCCATGGAATTGACATTCTACGATTCTCCTAGGAAGTTTGCAGTTGGCCCCTGCTGTAAATATCACTGGCGAGGAAAGATCACTATAATGATACCCATAATCACATCTCCGCTCCTTATTCTTGGCTTCAAGAACGACATGAATGTAAGTGTTTTTAATCCATTTGTAGTCTACTAAAAACCACCTGATCTTCTAGGAGTACAAGTGTTTGTACATCATAGTCACAATGGCTCTGCTGTGGGTGACCGAATCATTACCCATCTACATAACTGCATTGTTGCCCATTGTCTTTTGTCCACTATTTGGTCTTTTGGTGAGTATACCTTGGTCTTCTAAAGTTTATCCAATAATATAGAAATCTCTTTAATCAAAACTAAAAATTATATTTTACATTAAAATTACATTTTTAGGATTCCGCAGATGTGTGTAGAATGTACTTCACCGACACGATTGTCATGTTCTTGGGCGGACTTATTGTGGCCTTGGGAATAGAGTACTGCAATCTCCACACCAGAATTGCCCTGAGAGTTATCCGAATTGTCGGTGGAAGTCCAAGACGGTAAGTTTAATTCCTTAAGTTATTTTTCAAATAGAGTTAGGGATTTCTTTTTCCAGTTTATTGGTGGGATTGATAAGTGTAAGCGTGTTCATGGGTCTGTGGATATCGAACTCGGCAGGAACGGCCATGATGTGTCCCATAGTCAAGGCGATCATCAATGAAATGGATGTCGTAAGTATTTCGAATTTGTAATACCCATTTTTCTGGGGTTACCATATTATTTTCAGAACAATATATTTCCGGTATATATGACGCAAGAGGAAGAGCCGGTGGAGGAGGGAGAGTAAGTAATAGTGATTTTTATAATATATGGTTTTTTCCTTCTCTAAAACACCTGCAGCCCACCTCATCCGTCCAAGGTTTCGATTGCCTTTTACGTGGGCGTGGCATACGCCTCCACAATTGGCGGACTGGGAACTCTGATTGGCACGGGAACAAATCTGGTTTTTAAGGGAATTTATGATCAGTAAGATAGTGAATCTAGCTTAAGACAAAAATTCAAATTGATTTTCTTACCCAGGCGATTTCCCACTTCCACGGAGGAGATCACATTTGCCAACTTCATGTTCTACTCGATCCCCATAATGGTTGTGTGCAATATAACGCTCGTTATAATCGCTCTAATGATAACCAACTTGGGTTTGTTTCGACCCAAAAGTAAAACCGGGCGGCTCATTAAGGAGGCCAATATAAACCGGAAATTGTTGGAGGAAGTTCTGCGACAGCGTCATAAAGATTTGGGTCCAATGAGCTGTCACGAGATCCAAATTTCCGTATTATTTGCGATTATGATCCTACTCCTAATCACCCATAGACCGGGTTTCTTTCCCGGTTGGAGCGATCTGTTTAACGCTGTGTGAGTTTGAGTTAACAGAGTTATAAATAGACCTCTATAAACCAAATTTGATTCACACTTTTTAGGCAAGCTCGAAGTTCAGCTGCGATGATCTTCATAATTCTTCTAATGTTTTCGTTGCCCACTCAATATGTGTTTTTCAAGTACTGCTGCGGCAAGCGTGAGTGACTTAAAACCTAATGAAAATTTAATTCCTTTTTATAACTTAAATCACAGCTCCTTTTCCCGGCCAGGCATTAGATGCTTTATTATCCTGGCGATTTGTTCATGACAACATAGCCTGGGGTCTATTGCTCCTACTGGGTAGGGTTTCTAAGGTTTAAACTATCTTCGATATTATATTATTTCTCCAAACTTAATTTCAGGTGGGGGCTTCGCCTTGGCCGAGGCCAGTCAAAGAACTGGTGTTAATATAATGATAGCACGGGCCATGCAAATCCTCATCGGACTGCCTAGTCTTGTGGTGCAGATAATCACGATCCTTCTGTCCATGTTTTTCTCGATCTTCAACTCAAACGTGGTCGTAGCAAACATTGTTCTACCAATTTTATGCGAAATGGTAAGAAATATATATTTATTTATTTTTTTTATATTTTTTATTTACTAAAATGTCTAAATTAAATTATAATACCTTCTCAAGGGTATAACAAATAATATTGATCTGTTTCCTTAGGCCCTCGTTCTCGAAATCCATCCTTTGATCCTGACTCTGCCATCTTGTTTGGCAATCAGTATGTGCTACTTTTTGCCAGTCAGCACGCCTCCAAATGCCATTGTAGCCCAATATGCCCACATTAAGACCAAATACATTGTAAGTTTATCCCTTCCACATAATTAAGACCCCCTTTTTTTAAGAAAACATTTTCTAGGCCTGTTGCGGCGTACTGCCCACCATTATTGGATTTCTCCTGACCATTTTGAACACGAACACATGGGGAATGGTAATATTCCCGAAAGCCGGTAGCTTTCCAGATTGGGCTAAGGATATCAAGAATCAGACTAATATTTAACAATGGAACCAATTCTTCTTTTTTAAAGAATATAAAATATGTATTGTATTAATTAATGTAAAATGCAAAATAAGGCTGCTTTAATATAAAATACGAAGAATCTTACAAAAGTTTTGCGTAAATATAATCACTCTTTTTTTATGAGAAGAAATATTATGTGTTGTGTTATTTTTTAGTCACTGTATAGTCGTGGTTAAAAGGCAAGGACGATGATCATATTGATTGATTCAAAACTTATTTTCAGCCAAAGAGTGAGCCTTGGAAAAATTGTTCTTTTGAATACAGCATTTATTTTACAAATGAGTTAAAGGACAAACAAAATGGCCGAGTAAGTAAAAAAAAAAGGTATGTTAAATAACCAATTCACTTTATATCCCCTCTTGCAGTGCTGAGGATAGATTGGGAGGTGGCAGGGCCATGAAGCGCTGTTGCGGTTTCCATTGGAGGGGCAAGGCGACCATCATCATACCTCTCGTCACATTGCCGCTCTTGGTTCATGGATTAATGACGGGCTTGTTGGTAAGTTGGATAGACCACATTCCACAGTGGATAATCTAATAATTTTCCTACCTGCAGCCATGGGTTTGCATGTACTTGGTGGCCAATATGGCGCTCTTTTGGATAACGGAGGCCATTCCCCTGTATTTGACAGCTCTGTTTCCGATCGTTTTCTTGCCTCTTTTTGGGATTTTGGTATGTACACTTAATTATTTGGCACTACAACTAATTTCTGACATATTCTAGCCCTCGGATAAGGTATGCAGTTTTTACTTCAGCGATACCGTGGTTATGTTCCTTGGCGGTTTGCTGATCGCTCTGGCCATCGAATATAGTAATCTCCATCAGCGCATCGCACTCACCACCATTTTGGTAGTGGGCTGTAGTCCAAGGCGGTAAGTTTTTGTCCAAAAGCCCTTTCAAAAATAATAAGGGCCCCTTTCGACAGCTTGCACTTCGGTTTGGTCATGGTGACTTGCTTCATATCGCTTTGGATCTCGAATTCGGCGGCCACGGCCATGATGTGTCCCATAGTTAAGGCCGTTCTCAACGAAATGGAAGCGGTAAGAAATGTTTCTTTATTTTTAAATGTGATATAAAATTGGCCACGAACTTAAATCACTTATAATAGTTACTTTCAAAATATTTGTTGGTCCTTCGAGCCGGATTTTTATCTTCCTTGATACGCATTTTTACCTGTTCTTTACTTTTAGCAAAATATTTTTGCCATTTACAAGACACAGGAAGAGGAGCCAGTGGAGGAGGGCGAGTAAGTGAAATATGCTGGGAGATGGGAAATCGAAATCTTACGCCGAAACCATTTTAACTTTTAGCCCACCGCATCCATCCACCATATCGATGGCCTTCTATTTTGGAATCGCATATGCCTCGTCAATCGGCGGATGTGGGACTCTGATCGGAACTGGCACAAATCTAACCTACAAGGGCCTATACGATACGTAAGGATTTCCGATTGTTCTGATGTCATATATCTTATCAAAAAACCCATAGGCGCTTTCCGAATTCCGAGGAGAAGATCGACTTTCCCATCTTCATGGCCTACGCCATTCCATTTGTGGTGGTCGTGCTAATAATTCTCACCTTCTTATCGCTGCAAATCACCCACATGGGTCTCTTTCGACCCAAAAGCAAGGTTGGTCAGGAGGTGAAGAAGGGCGCCGAGAGCAAGGACGTGGTCAAGGCCGTGATCAAGGAGCGCAAGAAGGAGTTGGGATCGATGAGCTGCCATGAAATTCAAGTGGGACTGATCTTTATCCTCATGATTTTCCTACTGTTCACTCGAAAGCCAGGCTTCTTTCCCGGATGGGCTGACTTTTTGAACGCTCAGTGAGTTTCTTTTACACCTTTCGGTTGTATCGAGTTACTCGTATTTTTTATTGATCTTTCCATAGACCCATAGGAAGTGGGCCACCGGTATTTTTCGCTGTCCTTTTGCTCTTCGCCCTGCCCACTCAGTATACTTTCTTCAAGTACTGCTGCGGAAAGGCTCCTTTCCCGGGACAAACGCTGGATGCCTGCCTTTCGTGGGTCTACTGCCACAAGTATACGCCCTTTGGCTTGTGCTTTTTGCTGGGTAAGTAAGTGCTCATAAGGATTATTTCTATCAATTAGATTTCACTAGACTTATATCTATGAAATAAATGTATATTCTATATCTATTCTATATCTGTTAATAGAACATTCATAATTACACAGAGAAAAAACAAAAAAATATGAAATATATATTGTTTCATATTAATATGAAAAAATTGGTAAATGGTAATATTTCATATTAATATGGTACAAAATCATATATTCGGAAATATCATTTTGATATGAACACAGAACGGACCAAAATTGACCAAAAATAAAAAAATATCCGATTGATGACTATTTTTGATCTTTTTTTCTCTGTAAACACATAAATTATATTTTATTTTTATTAAGAAGTAATATATTTTAAGTATTAATTCTTTCACAGGCGGAGGATTTGCTTTGGCCGAGGGCAGTCGGGTAAGCGGAATGGCCAAAATGCTGGGCCAGTCCTTGGCATTCGCGGGAAGTATGCACTATGTCCTGGTTGTGGCCATGTGCATTGCCATTTCCCTATTTTGTACAGCCTTCGCTTCTAACGTGGCCATCTGCAACATTCTGATTCCGATATTTTCGGAAATGGTAAAAATTTTATTGATCTCATATATTTTTGTAATTTTATTATTAATAAAATTTTTAATATTATTAGGCCATAGCCATCAAAGTGCATCCCATTGTATTGACATTTCCCTCTGCTCTGGCCTGCAGCTTGGCCTTTCATCTGCCCGTGAGCACTCCACCCAATGCAATTATCTCCGGCTATACGGGATTGAAGACCAAGTACATGGCTATTGCCGGTATTTTGCCAACATTTTGGTCCTTCTTCTGTCTGCTATTCACTGGAACCGTGTGGACAATGGTGATCTATCCAGCTACCACCGATTTCCCCAAATGGGCTCAATAAAAAAATAGAAATGGAAAAAATGGAATGTAATACTGAGATTTGATTTATTCCACAGAACATTTTTAAATTTGACAGAGTTATATATTTGTCTAACTAATTTTCAGAACTTTTCCGCAAAGGTTTATCCATATCCTCAAAAGTATTACAACAACCAGAATAGAATGCTAACAAAATTATCAGAATGGAAAATACATTTGTGAAATTTCCGATATTCCCAATAATTTTCCTGTCAAATCAAAATATTCGTACCCTTTAAGTTAAAAGAATGGTGTTTTCGCTTTGGCAGCAAAATTGTTGACATGAATGCCGAAGCCTTGCAAAATGTAAGTACATTAATCGCTTTCAATTTTCCGAATTTTCCCAATTTAATTTATATTTTCCCATTTTAGTTTTAGATGACAATGCACAGTTGTTGCTCTTTTTATACCAGACATGTTCAGTTTTTGTTTTAATGACCAATAAATACATAACGCACAATTTGTGGCAATAAAAACTGTACGTGAAACTTGTTTAAAAGTACAAAAGCCTTCTCGATGGCCAAATTGATAACTTGGGATGGGGCGGAAATCTAGCCTACGGGTGGGGAGTTCCAACTCACTTAGGAGAAAACAAAAACTTTATGCAAACACAGCAAGATGTCCTTCGGCTGGTCCTTCACCTGAACTCATTCACATTCGCAGAGCGCTTCATATGGCAATATAAAATCAAGCCAAACATCATTACTCTGAGCTGAACTGAATTATATTGCGTTCCATGCGTAAATGATATGTATTGTATGCCGAGCACCCGAGGAACCATTTATAGCGCTCAAATCCCCAGCCGACACACGCATAAACAAATAATGTACAAGCTCAGGGAAAATTCCGATGCGAGTCGGTAAGTACTCATGTGTATAAGAAACGCACCGAAATAAATGTAATAAAAACCCTGACAAGCGGAATATACATACGTAATCAAGACACGAATAAAAACACGCTTTTCAACACTGATTACGGTGAGGCATGCGGCAGGACTTCATCAGCAGGACGTCAGGACGACGACGACGATGCCGTCGGGGGGGCCACAACATAAGCCCGCCAAATGGGCGACAGTGCGGACAACGAGCCACCCACCCATCCACCCATTCAACCATCCCGAAATGCCTGCTGGGTATGGAATGCTGTACAGTGGGTTTGGGGGTTGAAACAACAATGAGGCTTGTCATTTATTCATACACCAATAATAATGACAGATTTCAATAAACATAATTTTTTATTATTTGGACATTTACTTCTGCTTGTTTCGGAGCTCTGCCAGACACGCTGACAGGTGAATGGAAGTAATGAATTATTTATCAAAAAATATTAACAATAATAGCTTTCCGAAAAAATATCGTGCATTATTTAAAGCTTTTCAGCAATGTATTTATTATTCAAGGGAATTTCAAGGCCCGCTGGTTATAGGCAGGGTCTTGTAATTTATTTATTGAGAAAGGACCTTAATGTCCTTCCTTTCTAATCTTTATTTATTCAGTTCTTTTTTTGGCAGAAATAAAATAAAACTAATATAACGTTTACACGACCTTATTTGTTTTTTGATGGCCATTAAAATAGCAGTAGATCTTTGACTTTATGGATAAAATAAAAACAGTACACAGAAAAAAAATTGACAAAAGATCAGAATAATATGTGCAAGTTAATTTAATATTTTTTAAGATCAAGTTATTCGAATCATTTTGATATGAATAAAGATTATGTTTATCTTATTTAACAATATTTTTTTCAAACATACTAAATTATAAAAGTATTTTCAGAACTTTTACAAAATGATAAAATATCAAGTTGATAAATATATCATATAATCATTTGGCATTAATCATATCGGATTTTTATTGATATGAAATTAATTAGAAATAAACATTATTCATATCGAATTTGTTTTCTGTGTATCACTAAATCATATATTTTGAAATTAAAAATGCAAACCATAAATAAGTAAAGGAAAATGTTATAAGGATCTAACAATAAAATAAGTATTAAATATGACCGACACAAAGCCCTTATTAATGTCAAATTCTTATCAGGATTTCTTCGTCACTATCCGCACTATCTTTATCTACTCACCACTGTAATAATTGTTGTCCGAATAACCGTATTTGCCGGCTGTCCTGCCCCCGCCGGCCATCTTTATAGATTGCTTTGTTTCCTTGGCTCGTGTTGATACTTCCTGCTGCCCTAAGCCGATGTTGTTCTTGTTAGTTAGTTGTTAGGGACTGTAGCTGCCACTTCGGGACCATAAAACACTCAAAGCTGGATGGTCTGCTGATCGGCTTTTGGCTGTGCTAAAGTTCCTCCTTTTGCTGCTTCTTCGGATGCTTCCGGGAAAACAACTGATGGAGAAGAGAGAAGCAGAAAGGAATGCAAATAAAATCTGAGTAAATCCAGACCAACAAATTGTTAATGACTCTGTCAGAAGCATATAATCAACTTGGGTATGAAACAGAAATCAGAAGTCTCACATGCCGACGGCATAGGGAAACAGGATATGGAAATAAGTCGCAAAGTGTTCTGGGTTTGGCATAAGCCTAAGTGAGCCAAATGTGTGGCAAAGAAAGATTCATATTTTTTTAGGACTTACGAAAAGTGAATAAATACAAATAAATATTTTAAACCTTAAAATAAACAATTGTGGAATATTCTAAATATACTAAACCATAAAACAAACCTCAAGGATTTAAAAAAAAACATTTTTAAACAAGCTAAAACAAAATTAATAAATTTTTAAACAGACATTTCTAATTGACATTTTCCCACAGCGACGAAAAACCTAATTTGTAATTAAAACCAAGTCTAAAGCCATTGAAATATGCAAAATAAATCCGTTTCCTTTGTTTCGGCTTTAATGGAATTCATTTCTGGGAACACGCTAGCTTAGCCGCTAGTCACGTTACGTATACGCAACGTCAGCATGTTTTAATTACAGCAAACACCCAAACAGGAGAGCTCGCCTCGTCTGGTCGTGTAATTATGCATATAATTAATATGCAAGTACTTATTTAATATTAACCAAATTGCTGCCACTTGGAGCGTGTCGCCGACGGCAACAGCAGGAGTAACCATCGAGCGTTTTGCTCCCATGGCAACAATAAATTGTGTTCAATTTGTGTAATTAGTGTAAGAAGCTTTGCCAGCCAAAGGTGAATATGGGGGGCGGTGGGTGGTTTAACTGTGTGCAATTGTGTGCTAGTGGGAGGGGCAGGCCAATTTACACACATACACATAAATTGTTTCCCAGCTTAGAGAAAGCAATTTGGAAATTGCATGCACAGGGATTCGCACAGGGGGTTAAATGTAAAGGCTGTGCGGTTGGTTTATGCCCGATGCCTGATGCATTTCTCTAGTTAGTCCGCTCCATTTACTGTGCTCGGGGCCTTTTTCGATGAGACCCACCCGTGCAACAGGGCGGATTTGGCCAAATGAGCTCTGCGATTTGCCATTGCAATTTGCTGACGATAAATTTCCAGTTAAAATCTGAGCTTAGCACAAATTGGTTCTCCTTTGTGGGCTGTATGTAAAGTGTGGCTATAACTTAATTAAAAACTTAGCGAAAGCTGTTGGAATCAAGTGGCAGAACGGTGCTATCGGATAGTTTAAAAGCCTGTTAAGACAGAACAATTGATTTAGGACCAAGTTTGTGGGACATAATGAACCTTAAATAACCATTAACGGGGAAGGAAAGACATCCTCTGAAAGGACATTCTGAAATCCAATTTAAAGTCGGTAAACAACAATTCACTTGACAATACATTTCTGTTACTTATTTATAAGGCCATTATCCTATATTTAAGTGAGACAAAAGTGATTTTATTTTATTTTGTAAACTGTAAACTAATTGATTCAGGACTAAGTTTTTGGAACATCATAAACCTTAAATAACCATTAAAAGGGCAAAGAAAATATCCTCTGAAAATACAATTTAATACAATTAAAAGTCGCTAAACAACAAATAACTTTTCAAACCATTTTTTACATATTTATCACAAAATCATACATTTTTCAACAGTCGCTTCCTATTATTAAGTGAGATAAAAGCGATTTTCTATTAATTTCGTTAAATGTAAATTAATTTTGTGAAACCCCATCTGATACACTCAGGTTGCCACTACCAACTTATCTCATGAAACACCATCAATCAAAGCAAGTTTTGCCGTCTGGCTAAATAGCTAGGGAAAGTTGGAACGTAGTCCAAACTCCTAGAGCAGCTAATCTGTGTACCATATCACATCACTCACATAGAAACAATCCATTTAAGGCTGAGCTATTAGATTTCTGCCAATCGAGACGAACTTTTGTCTGGCAAACTTTTCTGTTGGTCCATTTTCCTGGCCTAATGAAATTTATCGACTCCCACGCACAACAATATGTTGCAGCCGTAAAGTTATTCAAATTAAAGTACACATCCTTTTGCATCTACTTTCGGGGGCCTCCAAATTTGATTATGAGCTAAAGTTTTCACTGGATCGGGTTTAAAAATTTCTTGCACGTACTGCGTGAAAACTCAATTACACGTTGAAAGAGCAATTCCTCTTACGCCCCCGAAACCGAACATCCTGGTCGGTCCTCCTTTTCAGCAAGGTGGCAAACAAATAATAGAAGTTTTTCCGCTTTGCTGTTTGTGTGTTTTGTATTTGCTATTGCAATGTTGGCTCACACTAAGAAATAAAATGCTATAAAGATTAGAAGATTATGTGTGAATCTAATTGTTAGCTGCGTCGTTATTTTAAATGAAATAAAATATAATTCCTTTAAATAAATTAAGGAACCATTTCATAATATATTTGTACTTTAAAATAGCAAATTCATCTAAAAAAATAAATTATTAAAAAAAATGAATAAAATTCTTAGAAATTAAAAAGGTCTTGATTAAATTTACCTTTATTCGAAATTTTACAATTTTATTTTTCAACTATTTTTATTTAAGTTCTATCTATATATTTTGAAGGAATTCTTTAAAAGGACATACAAATTAATGGATAAGGACATACAAATTAAAGAAATATTATAGTAATAAATACAATAAATACTAATACACTTATTAAAGTTTTAAAATAAATAAAACTAAAGTATTATGATAAGAAATAGACTTTTTAAAACTCTACAGAATAAATCTTCTAGTTTTAATAAACAATTTCTCTCAGTGGCCGCATTCTTTGCCTTTTTGTTTCCTTTTGTTTAATATCTCTTTTTCCTTAAGTGTAGTTGCAGCTGTTGGGACACAAGCCATAGGAAGAAGACCGCAGTCTAAGTGAGAACATATGTTGGACAGCAGATACACACCAGCGTATAAGAAATAATAGGAGTGCGATAGCGATAAAGGGGAAATGGGGAGGGCAGGGCGGAAGGAGATAGGAGTTCAGAGGCTGTCCGGAGTGATGGCTTCCATGTGGGGTCCCAATAGGTTCCGTTTCTGGCTCTGACCTCCTGTAAAGCCAAGTGATGACCGAAAATAGCACTAAAATTGTCGCCTCTGTTTCTCTGCATTCAGTCAGGCTTTGTCTGTCTGCGTATTTTCTCAGTGGTGTGCGTGTGTTTATGATGGCGTTTCTGAATGTGTGTGTGTTGACATCCTGTTTCCTGGGCATGGCGTGTGCGCACGAGTGCCATTGTCTAAATTATTTGGATGGCGTACATTTTCCGTTGAATTTGCGTGCCCTGCACCGAGGACCTGTCCATGGATCCTACTTCTCTTCTTCTGCCTCCGGAGAACTCCCTGATGGCATCTGATGGGGCACTCGACGCCCCAAAAACAATACATCAATTTGTACGTATGCACGTGGCCCAGGCGTTTGTCATGGCAAGTGATTCCTCATGATTGGCCTAATTGTCAGTCAGGTCAGAAACGCCCCCATCCCCTTCCCCAACTACCATGAATGGAAAACCGATTCGATCTTTCCATTTTCCCTTCACACATCAAGCACTTGCACACATATTTACACTGAGTGGGTGAGTGAGTGGCTCTGGGATGGACTTTTAAAAGTTACATTGAAGCTTTTAATTTAATAGATATTTGGCTAAAGTTACTTAAGTGTTTAATTACCATTATTTAAAAAATTACCTCATGGAAAAAATTTAATTTTATATTTTATTACAAAACATTTCTACACAGAAAAAAAATCGATATGAAATAGGGTCAATTCTACCTTATTTCATGTCAATAAAAACTTTTATTAAAAAGCCGATATTATTTATGTCAAACTTAGGATTCAAACATATCAACTTAATATTTTATCATGTCATATAAAATATCAAATGTAGTATATTTTAAACAAATGATGTAAAATAAGATAAACAGAATCTTAATTCATATCATTTTTATATATTGATCTTGATCTTTAAAAAATATATAATTGACCACCACATATTCTGTGTACAACACAAACACTAAAAATCAACAGTTTTTATTACAATTGTCGAAAATATTAAATAATTAATTTGTCTTTCCTCTTGAAATAACCTCTTAGATGAGATAATAAATGCCCTTTTGGGACACATACATTTAGGTCTTCATAAATATTACATTTATCTCAAAAACTAAGCCGCCTATTACGTTGTGACAGTAACATTTTAAGGCCCAGCATGGAAGTGAATTTAATAAAATGTGTCAACACTGCGTATGCGTGATAAACGTATAACTGAGGTCCACCCCACCAGGCACGTGCTATGTGTGCGTTGGTTTCCAGGTACAATATGTACATAGAGTTAATTGATGTGCTAATGGATGCTTTATTTTAGAACGGCTCTTATTTATATTGTGTCGAAGCCATTTAATTGGAATAGGACTGCAAACAGTATAAGGTAGGCTGCAGCATACCCTATATATTGATAAATTCAGGGACCGATGGAAACGTTGAGTAAACCAAACTGTAATATTTTTAATTAAAAATGTGGCTTTCACTTAAGTAGAATTCAATCGCAACTTCGGAGTCGGCAAATAAAAAAGTTTCTCATCAAGCGACGCAACTTTGACAAATAAACGGATATTATTCTTCAAATAGATAAATCGTATTCGCCTGGTCTCAGAGTTTTGCAAATAAATGACTACGCTCTCCTTTTCACTTTCCTTATATTGGCTTCTATTGATTTTCCCTTCACTTTATTGGAATTTTCCCGTGTATTGTCTTGCCAAACACAAATCAGTTCTCCCCTTCAACTGCACAGGTAAACACTTTTATTTACCTACCACATTTGGCCACCTCGGTACACAATATTTTGATCCACCGGGGATTTGCTAAGATGGTCGAACAGGCTTACCTGTAATTAGACTGGGGAAAACTTTCCAACCAAGATGTTTATTAATTGCACATGTGTGGGCAACAAATTTAAGCCAGCCCGGCTTCAAGAAACTTCCCAGCTTCACTCGTTTCGCATCTGCTTTTCAAACTGCAAGGAGGTTGAAAGAAAATCGACGCTTTCAATGTCTTAGCCGGCTTTTGCTGGGGCTTTTCTTGAAAAATGGAGAAATAAAAAGTGGTTCGAGTGCCTTAAGCACCGGTAAGCACTATATAAATGGAAATATTGCACAAGTCGGTTGCATTTTATATGATGCTCCACATTGGAAGAATACTTGTCTACCTTAAGTGAGCGTAGGAAATGCTAATAAAAGATTTAACTAGAAAACGATTAATAGTTAAAAGCTGTTTTATGTTGGCACAATATGGGAGTTGGTTAAACTTTTTAATGGTCGGAACAAATGTAAAATATTCCTCTTTAATGCAAATTTTTAAGACGTAAGTCATCGTGAACAAGCTGTTTTTATTACCATTTTATGCAGGCTTTAAACTGCGGTTATACTATAAAAGTTTTAGTTTAAACACGTCAAAGTACAGACATTAAAGACCGAAAATGAAATTTAATACGATATTGGAAAAGAAAAGAGCATACTGATGAGAGATGTCACGTACAACACAATCTATTCTATTATTCTGTTGAGTTTTATTATCTGAATGTCAATTAAGAAACGTGTCAAATCCATGTGTTTAATAATTAAAAACTCTGTTTATATACATACAAAGAAAACATTTGGAGAAAAACTTGTTATAATGGAAAGATATTTTATGGTAACGCGATGATTAGGTTGGCTTGAGTACTTTTTTTTATGGTCAAATAAAATTTGAAATATGGCTCTTTAATGCAAATTTTAAGTGGGGAAGTCCAGCTCGTGCAGGATATTATTTATCATCTTGATTCACTCGATTTTAAATGCCTTTTATATTTGTTTCATGAAACGTAAAATTTTTGCCAAATTCGATAACTTTCTTAAAATATTCTCATGGTTTCCAGTCCATCAAGTCTATTTTATAAATTTAACAAAGAACTTAATTTGCTTTGGCTGAACAATTTGACGTTGACATGCCAAAGAAATCTGGAAAATTCTTAGTAATCTCTGTTTGCTTAACAGTCAAGGAAGGAACCTTTTTGTAGCTGCCAAGAACATTTTGCAAACTCTTTTGAAAGATCAAGTTCATGGCTGTTTGTCATTAAATGCCAACAATCCGAATCCAAAACAAATTGTTCAAAATTTAAATGAAGCTTTGGTAATGAGAAACCAAACAGAAGCAGAAAGTTTTTCTTTCGGCTGAATTCTAGCGCAAAAATGACGAATACTTTTAAGATAAAAGACAATTTATAATGAGTGGAATAACAATTCCAAGAAGGCCCAAAAGCAAGCACTTCTTCAAAGTTTTATTTGATAATAAAAACCATAAAATTCAATAGCTAAATCATAATATGCAAATGATGGCGAGTGAAAAACAGGGCTTAAATAATTTAAATAAGTTTAAAGCCCAGGACCCGTGGAGAAATAGACAAGCTTAATGAATGGTGAGTGGTATACCGAGCGTGAACTTGACTCTGAACTGTGAAAAATGGAGTGCTGATGGAAGTGTAAAAACGCCAGCATGCAGTAAAACGACGGTCATAAAACAAGCCGTACAGTTGCTCATAAAAGCGAGGAAAGGTGGTTCCAATGCCACACACCTTTCGCTGGCTGACAGACTGCCAAGATCTGTGCGCGGTCTATAATTGATTTATATTTGCCATATGGATGAGGTGGGGGTGAGGCTTACCATCAGCCTTTGTTGTCTGCCAACTGCCATTAAATGGCTAATTAAGATTTCAGTCCGCTGGCAGTCGTCCAGCAGTTGGCCGCAAATCTCACGCCTTTTTAAATCCCTTCTTGCTTTTTTTTGGAACCCGATTTTTCGACCCGTTGGTATATAAGACTTCCGTCCAGCGGGCGACACAAAAGCGCGCGAAATTACACAAACAAACGGGGGACCCCGAAAACAGGACTATCTGGCGCACACACGCAGTCACGTAAATACGGAGTAGCCGCCTCCGATTGGTCCGAGTAAATATGGCGCCAAACGAGTCGAGAGGATGTCGCCTTTTGGAGCCTCCGTTCGGTTCGGTTCCCTGTGTGTGCCACTAGCACATCTGTCCCATCTGACGGCGTTAGTTCTACTGATGAATGAATCCTTCGAAGGATGCCAGGATGCGGAAAGTTCCCAGCATGCGGTGGACCAACAGCCGGAGAGCTTTTACTACGATGCAAGCTTTTACCTTCATCCCCAGTCCGCGATGAAGCCAAAGTCCGGAGCGATGCTACGAACTTGCGATACCTATTCTTGAATGTCTTATGATATCCTGACTATTACAAAAAATCCTAAAATTATTCTGAGTAGGAGGTTTGAAAGATAAACAGTGTCACTTTAAAAAAACTTTAACATCAAAACAAATAATGAAACCCTTTGCCTGTGATACCTTGGCCAATTTCTTGTGCTAATAATCTTGACGAACTTTTTTGCAAAACGCAGTTTAACTTGGGAATTCGTAATGAATTCAAAAATATAGCATCCATCGAGGTAAATTTTCTATGTTGCATTGTGTAATTATTAGAAAATTGTTACGAAAACATAGTTGTTCGCTGATATATAGTTATTTCCTGCATAGATTGTTTAAGAATTTAATACAAATTTGATTAATAAATCAGTATTATACATAGCTGCTATAGGTACGATCAGATAGCTTCCATAAAAACTATGCGTCTATGTAATAATAAACAAATTTTAAAAAAATGAATAAAGAAAATTAATTTTTAGGTATAAATGACCTTGAACTGTCATTTAAAAATAATAAATTATTGAACCCGTTTTTAAAAGCCTTATAAGAATACTTAATGATAATGATATAATGATAATAATTATTTGAATTTCAATTGTTAAGAAAACATAGTTGTTCCACGAGATATAATTATTTCTTGCAATTTTAAAGATAGTTTAAGAATCTTATAAGAAGTCTATTAATAAAGTAGTTGCTGGTATAGGAACGATCATGGAAACTATGGGGGTATGTCATTCATTTTTGCGTATTAATGACCTTGAACTAGCACACAAAAATAATAAATTCTTGTACCCGATTTTAAAACCTTATAAGAATACTACAATACCTATTTAAAAATATTCTATACCATTTCGAAATACACATTTTAGAAACTCCGTGTAGATTAGTTTATTTACTCTTGATTTATGACTGAATTAGCGTTTTAGTACAATACAAACCGATGGAAAATAACGAGCAAAAAGAGACATTCAGGCAGTCGCGGTGAGCAGGGCGGCGTGGTAGGCGATGTGCTCGGCGACGAAGGTGGCGATGTAGAAGTAGCTGTGGTCGTAGCCCTCGCGCTGCTTAAAGATGGTCTGGATGTGCGCGTTGCCATCGGCGGCGGCCAGAAGGTTCTCCGGCAGCAGCTGCTTGCCGGCGAGGAAGTTGTCCGCTCCGCCCTGGTCGATGAAGAGCTCCTGCGGCGTACTCTCGTACTGCGACACCAAAAGCGTGGCATCCCACTGGGCCCAATCAGCCGTATTGGAGCCCAGATAGCCGGCGAAGGCCTTCTGGCCCCACGGACACTCGGTGGGATTGGTTATGGGCGCGAAGGCCGAGACGGACTGGTACAATCCGGGATTCTTGAGGGCACAGATCAGGGCTCCGTGGCCGCCCATGCTGTGCCCGAAGATGCCCCGCTTGCCGGGCACCACGGGCAGATTGGCATTGACCACATCCACCAGCTCCTGGGTCACATAGCTGTACATCTTGTAGTGCTTGGACCACGGCTCCTGCTTGGCATCCACATAGAACCCGGCGCCGCTGCCAAAGTCGTAGGCGTCATCCTGACCGGCGATTTCGACGCCCCTGGGCGAAGTGTCCGGATTGACGACAATCAGATTGTGACGCGCGGCGTGCTGCTGGAAGCCGCTCTTCTGAATGAAGTTCTCGTGGCTGCAGGTCAGTCCGCTGAGGAAGAAGAGCACCGGGCAGGGTTTGCCCTCCAGAGCCGCCGGCGGCAGGAAGACGCCAAAGGTCATGTCGCAGTCCAAGGTGCCGGATCGGTGGCGATACACGCGCTGCTCGCCCTCGAAGCACTTGGAGGATGAGACCTGTTCCAGAGTCATGTTCTGCGGGTAAAACAATAAGAATTAATAAATAATAATAATAATAATTAATAATCATTAAATTTACGTGTTTTTGAGGTTTGGTTTCTAAAAATAAACGATAATAAACAGAGTGACCGTTTGCAGAGCGCCAAATAAACCTACTTGTTGGTGGAGCTTTCAAAACTTGGATGGATCTATCGATAGTATCGGCGTTTTGAAAATATTTGTTTTTGAAAACATTTTTCTTTGCTTGGTCTTCACATTTCTGATTCCCCCAAATTATATTTATTCATATTTTTATTGTAGAAACTTTGATTTTCGACTTTTGCCATTAGTTAGCACTTGATTGTTAAGTTGTGTGCCTGTGTTTATAGACTGTTTGTAATGTAAGAATTTCAGATATATTTTGCTTGTGAAATTCTCATTTACTTCAACATAAATTGATTTTCTGAATAAACAGTTTTTTTCCTTCTTAAAATTCAATCCACCCGCCAAATACCATTTCAGTGTGCCCGCATATACCACAAAAATACTAACTTTAATTACGATAGTTACCAAACTCCCGTCGCTAGCTACCTGAAGAAGAAGAAGCGCGGATGACAAATTGGCGAAATAGATTGTTTATTGTTTTTAACGTAAATTAATAGAAAAGTACGCCTCATTAAAAGCCGGAGAATGTCGGAAGAACCCGCTAGCACCTCGGCCTTTGGCTTCAAAAAACGAAACATCAAAAAAGGAGCCGCCATTCGCCGCAAAAAGGAAAGCAGCAGCAACGAATCAGGTGAGTGCAAAAAATATTACCGCCAAATGGAAGAAATTGTTTAAAATTGGTTAATATTTCTAAATATTCCAGCGAAAAGCAGCGATGAGGAGGCCCAAGGCAAGGCCAGTGCTTTAGTGCGAGCCGAAAACCGCAGGAAGCGCACGAATCCCAATTTCCAGAGCACCAAGACACTAAGTAAAGCGAAGCGCCAGGCGGGAGCAGCCGATGAGAATGCCACATCCTCCGCCTCCGACGATGATAAGCTGGGCATAGCCTACAAATCCAAGCGCGAGGCTCTGCCCAGTGGACCACAGGATCAGGGCGCCACGTCCGTCAATCAAATGGACACGGAACTGGATCGCGATGCCCAGGCGATCCATGCGCGATCCCTGAAAATCAACGAGGAACTGGAGGGCAAGGCGGACGACAAGATCTATCGCGGAATCAACAACTATGCGCAGTACTACAAGAAGCAGGACACGGCGGCAGGAAATGCCAGCTCCGGAATGGTGCGAAGCGGTCCCATCAGGGCGCCTGCTCATCTCAGGGCCACGGTGAGGTGGGATTACCAGCCGGATATCTGCAAGGATTACAAGGAGACGGGCTACTGTGGCTTCGGCGACAGCTGCAAGTTTCTGCACGATCGCAGTGATTACAAGGCAGGCTGGCAACTGGAGGCGGATCACGAGAATCAGCGGAGAGGAGATGCCGATTCAGATGGCGATGATGGCAAGTACGAGATTCACTCGGACGAGGAGTCGCTGCCTTTCAAGTGCCACATCTGCCGACAAAGCTTTGTCAATCCCGTAGTAACCAAGTGAGTAGAGTCTTAAGAATCAGTTAGTCTAGGAAATCATTGACCATTTCCTCCTATTTTTTTTTTAGGTGCAAACACTATTTCTGTGAAAAATGCGCTTTGGCCCAATACAAAAAGTCACAGCGCTGCATCATCTGCTCGCAGCAAACAAATGGCATTTTCAATCCCGCCAAGGAGCTGATAGCCCGACTTAAGTCAAATCCCATGGAAAACTCTGATAGCGATGAGGAGCAAATGGAAGAAAGGGAGGAAAAACCTGGAGCTGAGGAGGCTCAGGAGATTTCCTCCGGTGATAGTGATTAAAATTGATTTGAAAGCAAGTTTATGCAGTTTCAAGAGCTTCAGCTTTGCAGTTCGCCACTGCCAACTTTTTAAAGAACTTTGAGAGATTCTGTGGTAAGCGAATATTTCAAAGATTATTAAACGTTTTATACATATTTTATATGATATTTTTCTATGAATGGTGGGCATATTTTTTTGAAATTCCTCTAAAGTAGAATTAAAACAAAAAATAATAATTCTACACGTACTGTAGAAACTTTAGGAACTCTGGGATTATATTTACCTATATGATTACCAATGTTTTCCATTACCTCTAATATTACATGTAAAAATAATGTAGGATACACACCAGTGATAGATGGCGTCTTAAAATGACTGTTATAAGGAAAATCTAGATTTAACCTTTATGGTTAGATGTTACGATGCAATCACCCCAGGTATAAGTAAATTTATGTTTAATCTAATAAAACAATTATGTAGGAATTACCTTTAGGAAATAAAAACTCAAATATTCTGAAGATTAGCTTAAGGAAACGTGGTTTCACGAATCTTTTTCGTAATAATTCTTAAAATCATACTCACCTCTGTCATGATGTAGCCAAAACTGAGTACTCCGCTGACTCGCTTGGGAAGATTTGTGAACGCGGTTATGGAATATACAAACGAACTTCTACCACTCACACTTGGCAGTCGCGCCAAATATCTTCCCATGCCCAGTGGCTTCTAGCCACTTAAAGTGTTTCGCTAGTGTTTACGAGAGAGGGAAATAACTTGGGGATTTCGATCGAGTACTGCTTGACGTTCCGAATGATGCAGAGCCAACTCTGACCTTTCCTGTGAGGCCAATCATATAATTGAACCAAAACTAGCGTCTCCCTGGAGCGGCGAAAGTCAAGCGCAATTTTATATCCATAACTCAATTGCCAGAACTTTCATTTCCGGTTTCGTTCGCATCAACAAGCACAGGCACAAAAGAAAGTAAGAGGAAAGTGTGATGGGGAGAAAGGGAATTTAGAGGCATAGAGAGGGCAAAACTTTGTACATAAGGGAATTCGTTTGACTTTGCACCGCTAAAATCAAAAATCTCCTGCCAAACTTCTAGGCCGCATTGTTTCACAGCACAAAGCCGAAATATTGGCCAATTGTAACGAATCGAAGCTTAGCCACAAATTCCAGAATCCATTCCGGCTTCTTTGGCCACGCCAGCCTTTTCCCCGACTTTCCCCCAGTTCAGGGGCATGCAAAATATGAGCACATAAGCTTCCAAAAACAAAGCAGCTGCCCAGGCTGAGCCGAAAAGTTGAAGCTACCATTTTCCTGGCCAAAAATCGCCTTTGGATGCCGCAAAGTCGAAAGGGATTATTCACAAGGGAAGCTACCGGGTTTCTGAATGTTTCCCTGTGATAAAAGGTCACATTTTCGATCAATAGAAAATGTATAAAACCTAAAGTGTTGTGAAATTTTAATTACTATTTCAAAGAAGAGATTATTTTGATTTTTAAATGAACATAAGAGTTTAGTATTACATATGTACCTATATTATCTATTAAATATTAACCAGAAAAGTATTAATAATATTGATTTGTTTTACCACCATTATTAATCAGAAAAATAGGTAACAAAAATTACCGATATTTTTTTATATATGTTTTTAAAAAAACAAACCAACAAAATTTTTTTTTTAATTTCACAAAATTTAATTGAATTAAATTTGTTGATTTCTTTTTAACTGGTTTTTATTTCATTTATTTTACAGATGATTTTGACACTTACATAATTTTCAGAAAACAATGATGTTTAGATGCTGTTAATTACTGCAGTCAAAAGAAAGCTATCTTAATAAGTACTTCACTAAAATTGAGGGTTTACTCAAAGATAGCAATCCAGTACATTACCAAACTTTGGCGCGCGGTCACGTTCGCATTTTCTCACATTTTATGTGCCACTCACTTATTGGCAGTGCAATAGTTAATTGAATGACAAAGTCGTGCATGATGAACGCAACTTAATTGAGGGGGCGGCAATGATTGTTGCGGCTTAAAGCTAAGGCTCCAATAAAACGGGCGCCAAATCAGTTTTAATTATTTCCATAAATGCGAAAGTGAGCGGCATACGTGAGCTCTGAAATTTTATAGTTTCTGTCAGTGGCTTTGATTGCCAAAGCGCAATAAGTGGTGTGGGTTTGGCTGGCTTTTTGGAGAAGGGCTGTTAATTTTTCCGCCTAATTAGGAAGTAGAAATTTGTGTGCGGTTGCTCACACGATTGCCTTTCTGCCTCAAAGTAATTAAGCGTTAAATGTGTTTGCCGCCTTCCAAATTAACTGGATTTTGGTTACTATTAAGCATTTTATTTTCCTTTTCACCCTGAAAAATTCACATAACAATCGTAGGAATTTTCTTGTAATTTTAAAAATTTATTTACTATATTTTTAAAATTTTTCTAAATATCTTAAAGTTAACATGTATATCTACATTTTTTTAATTCTAGGTATATTCTTCTTGTGTATTTGTCTACTCAAGGGCAGATGTCTGCACGTTTTGCTGGGCTGCACGCTGTTTGTTTTCATTCGCTTTTATTTATTGGCTTCTAATGTCATTGACTATTATCCCACGGGCCGGAGAGGAGAGTCCAGGCCGAGATGCCCTTCCCTTGGATTTGCCAGCAGGGCTCGAGCTCAACTTGTCGCTTATTGTGTCAATTATCATTAATTTCTAAATGCTCTCCTGTCCGCACCAAGGTTGTAGCACCTTTTTGAATGATACCGCTACGCCCTGGGCTGCGTCCAACTTTCAGTACGTGTCCTGGCCATGTTGAAATGTCACCCTCGGCCATATAAATTGTTATTGCCTGTGCGTTCTATCGCCAGGACATCGAGGACGCAACACCGTGTGTTGTCCTGACATTCTTAAAGTTTTCCAAACTTTACCATCTGTATTTATGCTTTCACTCCCGTTAATTTATTGTCCATTGAATATTACGTTTCGCTCGTTGGGACCAGGAGTTATGTTGCAGTTAAGGATTAACTTTAGTTTGAAATCGAACAATTAAGAGAGCACGCTATAACGCTGTGTAATTATTGTGTAAATGAACCCCACACTGCTGGCCATAAATAATAGACAACAACAATATAAAGCCACCGCAAAAACCCCAGGCTCATTAATCTTTCACTTAATAGTCCCGAATAATTAAACATAACAATTGCACGGCGACGAGGCCCCTGCCGACCAATTAAAAGCCAATTTAAAGAGATAACAATTTATGAAAATCCGCAATTGAAAAGAAAAACCATTTTCTAAGCGGAAACATGGCCCCGAGCGAATAAATGCGATGTGTGTGTGTTCTGAGCTGAGCACCACAAGTTATGGCCCACAAATCTGCGCTCTGATAAAAGTACATGCCCCTGCAGACACGACCGCAGCTTTAATTTATAACAAACATTCTGTTGGATGTTCCGAAATGCTCCAATGTCCCAAAGAATCTTTGACACTTGCACTGCGAACTGGCATTCATCCAAAGGCCCCCGAACAGAAAAAGAAAGTTTTCTTCAAAACAAAAACCACTCGACATGTCCGGCCACAAGAATGCTTGTCGCTGGTTAGCCGCAATGCAAATAAAGATAAAATGCAAAGTGGGCAAAATGCAAAATGCAAAAACTGGCCAAATGCACCACCGATGGCCACCGAGGATGCTTGATAGAACCACAATAGCAGCTACAGCAGCATGCAAACAAATCGCTGCCACTTTTGCGCCATTTTCGAATTGATGTTGGTCGATTTCTTGGATCCCAAGTCCCGGGATAACCTCCCCCCTCCGGTTTTCTGGTTTACGACTTTACGAGAGTTGCCCGCTTTTGGCCAGAAACTTTTGCCTGCACTTTATGATTTTTGCGCAAACTTTTGTCAGCTCGGCTTTCGGTTTGTTTGTCGCCCTTTTCTTTATTGAAGCCAAGGACCAGATGCCTTATGTCTGCCGTTCCCATCATATTGATGTTTATTATACTCGTAACGTATAAAAATATATTCAAAAAAATAAGAACGGAACAACACAAAAATAATAAGAAGAAGGTAACAAAAGTTTCTGTCATTTCGTCTGACGTTTTTTCAATTGTGTGAAAAGTTGCTGCAAGTGCCAGCAGAGAAAGCTAAAATCAATACTTTCTTTATTGATGTGTAAAAATTGATCTTTATCGTAAAAAAACAAATTGAAATTCTTGCAGGCTAAGCAATGTGATAATCCTTATAAGGGATATAATGTAGTTGTGTTGTGGTTAGCCCGAAAAGATTGTAGTAGCATAAATAAAATACAAAATTGCTAATTTTTTTAAATTTTTAAATTAGTCTAACTTTTTTGTAGCTTTTTTCTTTTGGGAATTTTTTGTATTATCAGCGGTCTTACTAATATGAAATTTCCCCAGAAATCTTTCGGGGTGAAATGAATAGTAAGGTTAGGATAGCTCTTAATCACGTTACTTCCGGTAAAATATAAATTTTTATTTTGGAAAGTTCACCACATATCATATATGTATGCACAGCTTCCAATTCTCTGGATCTCTAAAGATATTTTCGGTTATGTTAATATGTTCTATATATGTTCTCGGAATTCATAACACTAACTCTTTTGGGGAATCCAGAGAATCCAGTTATTGCATTCTTAAAAACCCAACTAATTTGTTATTTGTTATTTATTTAGTTGGTTAACAATTATCTGCTAACATATGCTTGACTAGGGATACACTAACTTATTACAATTCTAACGATTCGAGGTGACTTAAAATATTAGACGGAAGAGTGCTGATAGGTAATTCAAAAGATAAAATGTTGTATAGGCTATTGTACTTGTTACATAGTGCGCGAAAAGGTTGATGTTAGGCATAATTAGACCTACACAAAGGCAAGCGCACCTACACAAATTCAGTAAAATGGATAATCTGCTTGTAGAAAACTGCGGTCAATTAAATGACCGCCCCCACAGGCAATTGTCCTAAAAGCAGAAGCATTAAAAATCTAGGTCCGCATGTAATGTTAGCACCTTGCCCGTGAATGTCCAGCACGAATGTTGTGGGTCCGGCCATTCTCGTGTGAAATCGGGGCACTCAACGTATCCTGTGAACAGTTACAACTTCCGGCCAAACACACAAATGAGCTACAAAATACTTTTGCAGAGCCACAGCAATAACAAAATGCCTGCAATGAGCAGGAGGCACTAAGACAACAATAGAATGCTTGACTGGTCTCCATGTCCTTTTCACTCTAAGCAAATGAGGCCATTTTGCTGGGATAAGCCCAGTGGCGGAGGCGGTGGAAAAGGAAGGAAAACCATTGTCCGGTCTAAAAAGTTTCAATAAGGAAATATGGACAAATAAAATAAATGAAAAGTGTCTAAAAAATGTTACTTTAATAAGCTCAAGAATGGCAAAGACAAAAAGCAAAATGTTTTTAAGCGAATGTGTGTATTAGGGTGTGTCACAAGGGTTTTTTGGTTTTGACAGTTTTGTGAGAGTTTTCGAACAACAACAACAAGTAGCCATTTGCCGTTTTCCGTTTTCCGGACTTTCTTTGGCCGTTGCTAAGCTGAAAATATTTTCATTATAAACTTTGCGACAGGTTTTACCCTCTAAATGTGTGTGTGTCGGTGAACGGAAACGGAAATGCGCCATTAACTGGCAAGTCAAGCTTATTAGCAGCAATAAAAAATAATAAGCTGCAAAGTTATGTTG